AAAATACGCAACACTTTCGGAGTATTAACGCTTTATTACTTCAAGAAAGGTAAAAACCCAACCGAAATGCAAAAAAAGATTTGTGCAGTGTATGGAGGAGGTGCTATGACTGGGGGAACGTGTCAAAAGTGGTTTGCAAAGTTTCTTGGTACTACTGACATTTTGTCCAAATGGTTCTTTGCTGTGGGGCCGTCTTAGGCATCGGAAGATGTTTAGCAGCACCTCTGGCCTCTACCCACTAGAAGCCAATAGTGGGAGATAGCCAACACACTCAGAATATCCACATCAATAAAGTTATTGGTAAAAATGAAAAAATGTGTCTTTTATGGAATAAAACCAAACTTTTTTTTTTTGCCAACCTACTGCATTTAAGTATTCGATTAACTTTCACAAAGAATGGAAGGACACCAATACATTTAAAAACTAATGTAATGGAAGTTACTCCAGTGAAAGGTCAATTAGGTATTAAAGTGAACACCTCACATTCTGCGAAGCCAAGTGAGTGCTGGATACGGCTTCTGTGCGGGAACTCGGTCGTTCACCCACAGGGCATTTTAATGCCTAGCACTGCGATCGGGGGAAACGCAGAGAAGGGGTATGTGAAGGTCTGCAATTGAGAGCCTCCTGGAACTTGAGAATGAAACAAGAAGGGAAACATAGTGGATAAAATGGATATTCCGAGGAAGAAACCAGCCTCTCTCTGTGTAGGAGCCACGAGCTAATTAAAACCACTCGAGTACAATTCTGTGACAGCTGTCGGTTTCGCGGCCCGATGAATGGCCCTCGCTCCGCTGCAGGGAGTGATTCCAGTAACCGGACAGTGTGGGTGCCGCGGGCGGGTCCCTCTTTCCCGGGGATAGCGCTGGAGGGAGACATCCTCGAGTTCTTAATCAGTTCTTAATCATCTCGCGCTCATGTGAAGGCCCTCCTCTCTCTCCCTGTCCCCGAGGTCATTTCTCATTCTTTCTCACTTAGCATCGCATACCAGGCGTGCCTCCCTGGGGCCACACCCCCCGGGCCGCCTTGGGCTCCACCTTGGGGAGGGACCGGTTCCTCCAGCTCCGGGCCGCCCCTGCCTCGGGGCCTGCTGGGCTCCCCGCCGGCTTCGGGCCGAGGAAACCGAAATGTCAAGGTTTTCGAGGACTTGGCCACGTCATGGACACGTTCCCTGTCCCACCGTAGTCCCCGAATACTGATCCGGTGACCTTTCCAGCGGCGGCCGCACGGAAGTCGCTGGTCTAGGTGTTTGCTTGCTGCGTCTCCCTGTGGGTTCCCCGTGTCTTCTCCAGGTCTCTGGCGTCCGGCTCCACACAAGTGTAACTGGGTTTATGTGCTGCCGATGCGCTACCTTGAACTGTCTCAGGAGAGGCTGAGGCAGAGTTATCTGCAGGAGACGGAAAGGAGAGCTTGTGGGGAGGGCCCTGCTTCCTGAGGAGGTGGTGCTCTGGGCAGCCGCCACGCCCCACTCGCTGTCCAGGCTCTTCCCTGTCTGGGCTGCTCCCTGTCCACCTCCTGTCCACCTCCTGTCCACCACAGGCAGGTGAGGACGACAGGGCAGAGGAGCCACGTCAGCAGGGACTGAGAACAGGACGAGGAGGTGTCTCAAGGGCAGAGGCCCGGCCCGGACCAGGTGAGCAGGTCTTGTTAGGGTTGGGCAGAGCGACAGGGCCAGGTGGCAGGAAACCTGTGTCCTGGCTGCACCCATTGGCATTGGGCAGCACGGAGGGAGATTGGTTTAGGGGAAAGCTCGATGAGATCGCGTCCTAGGCAGGATTAAGTTGTTGTAATGATTGGAAAGGCTAAGGGATCGTACACGTGGAAGAGGGAAGGGTGGTTGCTGACGACGATGAACCTGTGGGGCCGTGGGGGACGGGAGGGGCCCTGTGTTGTGAATGGACAGCCTTGGCAACTGGACACAAGGGAGAGGGGAGTGTGTTTGTTAGTGAAGAAGGGAGCAAAGAGGTTCTGCGTGCGAAGGCTGCTCAGAGCAATGGGCTCGGTTACGGAGGTTGTTAGATATTATAGTGCTTTGCCCAGAATGCTGTGCCTTCTCTTCGGGCTGCCTCACCTTGGTTCTTCTGGACTTGGTGCAGAATCCTTCCCCCAGGGCCTTGGCGGGGGGGTGGACCCCTGTCAGGCACAGCCGCACTGAGTTCCGGTGGACCTGGCTGTGTCCTCAGCCAGACCAGGAGCCGCAAGGAACGGGGTCAGGGACAGTCACTTACGTCTAGCACCTCCTTGTGGATTAGGTGTTCACGTGTTTGTCTGTGGGGTTCACCGCCTTGCTGCTGCCTCCGGAGGGTGGAGAGTAGCCCTTTGAACCGGTCATCACGGATGCCACTGCCACCTGGACAGCCGTCAGCTGTTGCCTGACTCGGAGCGCCCTCTGCTCTCTCGCTCCAGCTTTTGTTGCACAGACGTTCGCAGTGTTCAACCCCCGTGTTGTGCTTCCCAAAGGCAGTAACGTGTGCTTTGGTTTCTCAATAGAGCGAGTAACCCCAGGTGAGAGAGAGCAGCCTCGGACCAAGGTGTAAGTCCATCAGAGCCACAGAGGGGAAGGTGGTGCCAAGCGCTCACCCTGCCACCGTGCTGGGTCCCCCGGAGACGTGCAGGACAGTGCTGTCCCCCCAGCTCTTCCCGGGTGGATGGGAACGGGCTTCATTGGGGGGGAAACACTGGTTTTGCTCTTCTTGCACAGTTTTGCTTGAGAGTGTTGGTGTGTGTTGAGGAGAAGCCTCGTTCCATTTTGGCTGGTGCTCACATCTTTTCTTTGCTGAGTGACTTAGGAGATGCTTTCTCTGGGAGTCGTATTTGAGAGCTAGGAGCAAGGCATTTTGATGCAGAAACATTCCTCGTGTTCCAGGCACCCCTCTTTGGGTAAATTTAAGTTGTGCGGATCGGTGACGATGTGTAATCAGCCGCTGTTCTGTTTGCAGACGGGAGTAGTTGGTGGACTTCTCAGCCCCTCCCCTCCCCAGCTGTGTCCTGTGGCACAGCAGTGTTACTTTGGAGGAACTCCTCTTTTGGCCACACTTGGGAGTGTGTGTTTGCTTTTTTAAACTCACTTGTAGCGCAGGCTCTGGGAACTGCAGCCCCTGGGACAAGTGCTCCCTGTTGCTCCCTCTGCCCCTTGCACTGCCTCCTGGGAGGTCCCTGGAGGAGAGTCCCTGTGAGCAGTGGGTGCACACGTGACAGGTGACAGGGCTGGGAAGAGCATTTCACGTGGGGAGCTGGCCGTTCCGCCCGCAGGGAGCCTGCTCCAGACGGAGTGGTGGGCAGCAGCGGGTGCTAGTCATGGCTGGGGCGGGATGCTCTGCAGAAGGGGTGTTGCCAGCTGGGTTAGCACTGAGACCCGCCCCCAGGGTGGAGCCCTCGCCCACCCATGGCTCAGGACCCCGGTCAGGACTTGTGTTCTGACTCGGTAAATTCTTAACTTTTTTTTTGAAGAATCGATTGGCAAACAGTCACAAATCTTAACTGGGTAAGTGTCTCAGGAAGAAAATGTAAAATACTGGAATTAGAGATTGGGGCCTGGATATTTGAGCGAATCACATAGGTCTGCTTTGCAGGTGGGAACAGATTGTTGTTGTATGGTGCGTTTTTCTCCTTGTTCTACAGGTCCATTGATCTCAATTTTATTATTTTGAGTTTGATTTTAGAGGTGAAGGGACGGGGGGAGAGAGAGAGAAACATGTATCGGTTGCCTCTCCTATGAACCCCAACCTGCAGCCCAGGCATGTGCCCTGATCGGGAATTGAACTGTGACCTTTCAGTTTGAGGGGTGACGCCCAGACAACAGAGCCACACCCACTGGGGCTTTCCAAGGCCGTTCAGTGTGGAGCTTTGGGTTCTTAGCTCGTCTGTGTTCCCGCACAGCGGCTCCCACTCCCCCGTCTGGTGTCCACGCTCCTGCACACGTTGCTTTCTGATGCCATGGTTCCCGGTGGTGGGGGTTGGAGTGCCCTCTTCCGAGGGGGCTGGGTGGGTTCTTTTGAGTAGAAAAAGCCCTCTTCCCTTACTTGGAATCATTGATCTGCTGTAAGATCAGGACCCTGAAGGTACATGAAAGGTGATCGATAATGGAAATTTGGAAAAGCTTTTTTTGGATTTGTTCGGAGAGCTGCCCTGAGCGAAGAAGGTTCCTGTGAGTCTTACTTTCTAAGTTCACTGACCGGCTGTGCAGCCTCCATCCGCTGCCCTCACTCCTTCCAAAATACAGCCTTTCTCTTACTGGGTGGCTGGAAGCCTGTCGCCACCCGCTGCCTCGCAGGAGTTGGCAAGGTGCACTGGGTGTCCGGACCGCTGATTTCTCGATTTGGTGTTAGGTTGGACTCCCAGGAGGAGCTGGAGTGAAGCACAGGGCACTTGGACTAGAGGCTGCCCGCCCACTGTGTGACCCCTCACTTGCATCAGTTTCCTGATGAGTAAGGGGGAGGGGTGAGCATCAGCATCCTGCCCCGCTTAGCCCTCTCCTGTCCCAGCTGTGAATTGCCCGGGGTCAGAGATGGCCACGGGAGGCCTTCGAGGGCCTGCCTCCCCATTGGTCTCATTCATAGAATCTAGGTTATTTGGCTTTTAGGATTGTTTCAGTAAAATTTGCCTGAGAAGCAAAACCACACCCAGTGTGGTGTAAATATTCACGCATTCAGCGCGCCCCCCCCCCCCCCAATAAAATGGGAGCCTGTCTGTAGAGGAAGTGCTGTGTCCTGTGTGCTTCGTGGCCGTGGTGTTTCCTGGTGATGGCACAGGAGTGAGAGAGGCACCTGGCACCTCGGGGAGATCTACTGGTTCTCTGCCCCCCACCCCCCCAGCTTGCGAACCTGTTCTGTTAATGATTGCACCTAATTGTGTGTCTCTGGGCTTCTCACTGTTTACCGTGCAGTGCTACTTAAGGCCGATTGTTTGCTTTTGTGTGTGTGAATCCTGGGCTGCCACCTGAAGCTCCACTTGATGGCTGTGCATTAGCATCGCGGGTTAAGTGCTGTCTCATTGCCTTGCAGGCTGCCTGCTGTTTTCCGGGGAGATCATGAAACGAGGTCGCCTTCCCAGCAGCAGCGAGGACTCGGACGACAATGGCAGTAAGTCTTGCTTTGTTGTTCTTGGAGCCGGCCAGGGTTCGGGTCAGGGTGGAAACATGGTTTTTTAATGGGATGCTTTAAATAGCCGAGGCCCACCGCCCGTCAGGCAGGTCGCTGAGCACTGAGGCCTGCAGGAGCGTGTCTGAGCGTGATACTGCAGGCCTGCCACCCAGCCTCCCCTCGCGGGCCGGCCGCACTCGGCCCTTCCTTGGGCTCCCTGGGTGTCCTCCGGAGATGAATGACTCAGTTCCGAGAGCCATGCCGTATCTGTTTATACTAAGCATTACCTATGGCATTTCGCAGTCGCTCTCCGTGAGAAGGGAACCTAATCGAAGCCAGTTAACTATTAACCAGGGCAGTCCGGTACCTACAGAAGGAGGTGGAGGGCTGCCCAGCGTGATGCGGGAACGCCGAGTCCGGGTTTGGGGTGGGCGGCAGGTCGGCGCTCTTCGCTGGTCCCACCATGCCTGTGGCTGATAGCGCAGCTCTCGCGTCCTCGTGTTTGCACCGTGCAGGCGAGAGGCAGAAGTCAGCTGGCTTCCAGGCAGTCAGAGTAAATGTCACGCAGCGTCTGTGTGTTGATAAGCCAGCGGGCTCCTCGGAGAGCCCCCTCCGAGGAGGGAAGTTTTGCACCTAGCACAGTGCCTGAGTGCCAGTTAGCCGGTGTTTTCCACGACAGAGTCGACTTGAGAGACCTAGAAAGAAGGCCTGCTTTGCTGTGTGGTGGCAGAGGTATCGGGCCGCTTTCGAGGAACTCCGTGTTAGGTGTAGACAGAACCTCCAGCTCCTCGCGGGTCTCAGGGCAGCCGGAGAGCAGTCTTTGATTGATGCCCCATGAGGGCGGGTGGGTGGGTGTGTGTGAGCGCAGGGTCACAGATGTAGAGCCCGGCGAGCCCCGGGTGGAGACGAGCATTGGGCAAGCCCTGAAGGATGAAATAGCTTTTAGGCGCACAAGGTTGTTTCAGTGTCCTCGTCTCCAAGTTTTGAGCAGATTCAAAGCTGCAGAAGCGCTGTGGGCTGCGCATGGACAGCCACAGAGTCCTGGGCGGGAGGGGACCGGAAAAGAGAGGGGACCGGAAGGGGAGGAGACCGGAAGCGGGATGGGGACCGGAAGCGGGAGAGCCTATCTTGCGCCGCGCTGTGGCCCACGCACAGGCAGCTGTGGCCCATGCACAGGCAGTGGGAACTAGGATCCGGGGCTGTGGGAGGAGTGTCGGTGTTTGCGGTGATGGGTAAGGTGAGCTGGAGCTGAATCCAGGAGCGGCTTAGGGGCTGGGACTTCAGGGGCAGACGGCGGGGGGCGCTGCCGTGTGGCACAGGCAGGCGAGAGTGGGGGAGGGGAGGAGAAGAGGGGCGCAGGAGTCGGGGCTCAGGAAGGGATTTTCCTTTATTTCAGGGAGGCCGTGGAGGGTCTGCACCCGGGCACAGGCGTGGAAGCCCCTGTCTCGGCCTTCCCCACGCCTTCTGAGCTTCTTAGCACTTGGCGTTTCTGGGCCCTCCCTGCCTGTTCACTCTAATAGTCGCCTGGGCTTTCCACTCCTTGAGGCAAAAACATGTTTTCCTGCCCGTTCGGTGCCTCTGAGTGTTCTCAGGACTTACAAGGACTCGGCAGACGCCTGCTGTTGAGCACGCGGTCTCGTCCCACAGCAGTTAGAAACACTCTTGCCTTTGGGCACGGCGTTGATCAGAGGAGTCACCTCCGCATGCTGACGGTGCCCGATGAGAGGCCGGGGGCCCTGTGCAGTGTTTGCCGACGCTGGGCAGCGGGCTTGAGCTCACTGTCTGTGGCTCTTCCTCCCCGCCTCCCCGGGAGAGCCGGGCTAGCGAAGGTGCTCCCGGAATGTTCTTCGAGGCTTGGAGCCTTGAGCTGCCCAACGGGATGGAAATGTTGTCATCTAGTGTAACCGAGGAACTGAATTTTTAATTTCAAGTTTAAATTTAAAAAGCCACAGGTGGCCAGTGATGACCACATTGGATAGTGTGGTTCTGGACTGGGGCCCGCCTGGTCCTTATCGGCGCCCGGAGGCCCTGTGTGGGTCAGCTGAGCTGTCATGACAAGTGCCACACACTGGGGCTTAGACAATAGACACTTCTGTTCTCGCAGCTCTGGAGGCTGCAAGTTCAAGGTCAAGGCATCCACAGGTTTGCTTTCTGCTTGAGGCCTCTCTCCTCGGCTTGCAGATTGGCTGCCTGCTTGCTGTGTCCTCTCGAGGTCTTCTGTGCACGGGCACCCCTGTGTCGGTGGGCTCCAATGTTCCCCTTCTGAGGATACCTGTGACCTCAGATCAGGGTCCCCATAAGACCTTACTTAATATAATCACCCTTTGAAGGCCCTGTCTCCCGATAACTCACATTCTGAGGCACCAGAGGTCTGTCTGGCTTCAACGTAGGCATTTTGGGGGACACAATTCAGCCCTTAACAGCCGTAGTAGACCAAATGCTTCATCTAAATCTCACTCTCCCCTCCCCCCAACTCTGGTTAAAAATGAAGGAGGAAAAGAGCGTCTGAAGTTGCCACTAACAGTGTGCCCATCAGAAGTCAGCTTTATGGTGATGGGCCATTTCCTTCCTCCTCCTGATACACTCACGTCCGTGTGTTGGGTGGAGGGTTCAGGTCAGTGTTTAGAGGGTCTGAGGTGGGTAACCAGAGTGCTGGGTTCTCCCTGGGCCTAGCTAGATGTGGCCCCTGGTTGCAGGGGACGGTGGGCAGCCCGTCCTTGGTCCTGCAGTTGGTTTGCTGTAAAGCACGAACTGATGATTTGGCCGTCTAGGCCAGTGTCGGGCATTGACAGGGGACGGTGACTGTGGTGAGGACCTTGCAGTGCCTGGCCTTCCGAGCGTGCACCCCCCCCCCCCCCCCATGGAACACGCCCCTCCCCACCTTCCCTGCGGGCGGCTGCCTCATGCCCATTTGCACTGCAGGCCTGTTTTGGTGGAGCCTCTGGGGAGTCTGCGGGGTGCCTTCTGCCCCCTGCAGTCAGCCCCAGAACTGAGCCCGCTCTCAGCCGGTCTGGGCACTTGGAAAGCCCTGCTGGCAAGAAGGGCTGGGTCTGCAGTGGCCGCTCCCCGGCTTCTCCAGCCGGAGCCCTGACAGAATGTTGGCAGCAGCTCCCAGCCCGGGGCAGAGCCGTGTCCAAGAGCTGGAGGGAGCTGCTGACGTCAGCATGGGGCCGCGGCGGCCACGCCTCGCTGGCTGGCTCCGGGGCTGGAGCCCTCTGCCTTGCTTTCTGGCCGGGTCCAGGACACCAGCGTGGCGTTTTCAGTGGGGGGCAGACAGGCGGGTGCTTCTATGCCAGGGTGAGCCTCCGCCGGCCACTGTGTGGCTGCCAAAGCCTCTCTCCCGGTGCCCTGGGGGCGGGCCCTGCACTTAGCGTTGGGGTGTCTGCAGGCTGCAGCTGTAACTGCTGGGCTCCTGGGACCGGGGCCCGCCAGTCTCCACGCTCCACCATCGTGCCCGGGCGTGGCATGGGAAGTAGGCCCTTGCTTCCTGCCCAGGAGCCTCCGTCCTCGGGGATTTCTGCAGATGTGCGCGTGGCGTCCACCAGCTATTTTCAGCATTTCCAAAACCTGAAGGAGAGTTTACGTTATCTTTAATAAAGCTGCAGAGGCTAATTAAGACATCGAGTGTTCTTGCTTTTGGCAGGAATTACATATTATTCGTTAACTCAGGCCAATTAACAGCTCTGATCAGCATTCTTATTTTTTTTCTGTAAAAGTAAGACAAAAATTAAATAATAGTATGGAACGAATACTGTTCGTTTGGCAACTTTTTTAAACACGTGGAGGCTTCAACTAGGAGAAGGGAAGCAAATGGTGTTTTGGTTACACAGTGTGCCTCTCGGAGACGCACAGAGAGAGGAGTGTGCTGATACTTCAGAGCTTTCCCTAAAGTTGGGGAGCAAGGTTTCCTTTTCCTGCTGAAGGTCCTCTGCTTCCGGGCTGTGTCGACCTCCCTGTGGGAAGCCAGGTGTGGCTGGGGGTCTGGAAGCAGGTGTGGCTTCCCTGGTCTCCAGTGTCCTCACCCGGGCTAGCTCGGCCCCGACACACGTCCGTCTGACCCGAACTGCAGCCGTCTAACCCAGAACTGCAGCCGCGCTCGGCTCCACCTCCGGTTGTCACGAACGGGCAGCAGCGAGAACCGAGTCGGAGCCGAACCCTCTCCTTCTGCACCTGGTACTGCAGGTTGGGCTCGCGAACAGGAAGTTCTGTGGGGACTCTTCTCGGGGGGCCTCTCCAGCTTACGGGCACGGGAGAGACCATCCTTTTTAGTGGGTGAAATGTACTTTCTGCCTCGGACCCCCTGTATGTCTCCTTGCATGTGGTGGTTTCTCTTGCGTTTGTCAATAGCTTGTGTTCGTTTTCTTGTTTGGCCGGCTGTGCTTGGCTACCTCCGTGCATGTCTTTTCGGTGGTTTCTCTTTTGCATAAAGGTCAACTCTGCCTGAGTTCTGTTTCCGTTTGACTACCTTTCGTTTCTCCTTTTCCACTTGAGTTGCATTTGGTGACACGTGAATGGGTTGCGTAGGAAGTCTCGAAAGGAGGGAATTTCAGGGCTTGAATGCTGCAGAATGTGCACGGCGCCCGTGTCTCCTAAGGCACACCGGTGGCTTTGCCCTTTTTCAAACCCGACTTGTGGCTTGACTTTGACATTGATGGGCAGGGCATCTTCTTGGCACAGTGAAGGGTCCTGTGCATGGACCAGCCTCTGGCCCTCACACCCTCGCATGGGGGCCCCCCCAGGAGTGCTGAGCGGCTATGGAACATGTGTCGGTTGGTCCCGGTGGGGGCGCCCTGGGCCATGTCTTCCAATGTGTGTGTGAGGCTTCTGTGTTTTGGAAGTGGGAGGTGGGTTGGACCACATTGCCCCGCTGTGCTGGGACGGAACAGCTGGGCGGGTCCGAGGGCTTTCTCTCACGCCCTTAAACCCAGAAGCTAGCAACGCCCCAATGTCACTGGCTTCCCGGTGGGAGTTTCCAGGGCTCTTCTTAGCTTGCCTGGGGCCAGTCTTCCCTTGAAGAAACGCACCCCGGTCTGCACTGTCGGCTGACGCAGGCCGGCCTGCTGGACTCCATGCTTGCAGGCCCCAAGCTGGGAAGCCAGGGAGTGGCTTAACACTCCCAGAGGCACCAGCATAGTGATTTCAGTTCCGGAAGCCGGGTCCAAGACACAGGAGACGCACCGCTCGCTGGTGGCGAGGTCTTTCTGTGATTCCCGTTCTGCGCTGGTGTGACTTCCAGGCCTTGCACGCGCTGCACAACCGGGAGGCCCCACACGCATGAGCTGCTACATGTGGGAGGTGTGTGCAGCACGTGCGAGGTTTCCTCTTGAGGGTTTTCACTACTTCAGACCTAGGGCAACACAGCGTGGCTGTTTCAACGTTCCAGAGGCGCGTGTTGGTGTGCTCTGCCTAGTAACCGCACCAGAAGGCGGGGGTCCGACGGCCGCGTGTGCTGGGGGTCTGCGCCCGCCCCCGGTGCCGCCGCCGCAGCCGCCGCCGGTGAGCCCTGGTGGCTTCTCAGTGGAAGGGGCGGCGTAAAGCGCAACAAGGCACTTTTTTTCCCATTCATTCTCTTCAGCATTTAATACAGAATCATTGTACTCAGCATGAGAATTTTTAAAGTTGCTTAGATTTGTCATTAGACTGGACTTTACATACTGGTCATCTCTCGTGTGTGATCAATAAAATAACTGTAAACATCATAACAGAATTAGTGTTCCCAGGTCCTCTCCCGGAAACAAGAAGAAAATGAAACGGAATCTCACTTGTGACCTTCTTAACGCAGCCTGCCGTTCCCCGCCGGCGCTCTGCAAACAGGGACGGGCGCAGCCCCCACCCGCCTGGTCCCCGCGCCGGTTCCTCGGAGCTGGCACGTGGCAGGTGCTTGCTGTGCAGGAGCCTCTGCCTCCCGGTTCTTTCAGGGTTTGAAACACCTCCTTTCCGGTTTGGTCATTTCTTCCCCACCCAACCTGACAGCTTTTTCAGTTAAAAAGGGGTGCAGATTATTCTTGTTTGGGCCACATTCTGGGAGCGTCTCCCCGTCGGAGAAGCGTCCGGAGAGAGCGTGGCTGAGGGCAGGCCTGGGGCGGGGGTGTGCTGGCAGGTGCCCGAGCCTCTCGCCGTGGACTCTGCGTATGTGGGCGTGTTCCAACCGGAAGCAGTGGCCCCCTGGGTCTGCCTTCGTGGTTGTCATTGCTGCGACCCTGTGAGCTCACGGTCCTGTCTTCTGACCGGCACCTCGGGGGCACGTCCCCCTGCCTGCTGCCTGGGGTTCTGCACCCTGCTGCAGTCCGCAGGGTGGCTCTCTCCGGGCAGGGCTGTCCCCACAGCGATGCTGTGTCTTTGTCCACTCTTCAGAGTGTCTCTGAGCGTCTGCTGGGCGCCCAGCGCTGAGTTAGGTGGACTGTGTGTCGTCTAGTTGTCCAGTCGTCTGCGTCTCGCACTGACAGTGCGCACCCTGGTGTTTCGATGCGAGCACGTAGATCAGGAGGACGAGAGCACCAGCTACAGAGACCCACCGCTAGACACGGAAGGGTCTGCTGGCCCCGGGCCACACTGTCACCTGGATGGGTGGATGGATGGGCCCCAGGGTCTCGGCTTTCTGCACACCACCTGTGTGAAGGACAACGGAGCGTCTCCTTTCTCTCATTGTTGGTGGGGGTGGAAAATCATCACTTCCCTTCTGCACGTGTTAAAGGTCAGAACGTATCGAGTGTGCCGTCATAAACTCGAGGTAACTCTTTCCTCCCGCCTCTCCCCGTCAACAGCGGGTCCGCTTTTATGCTTCCCGGGGTTTTCTGCGAGTGGGATAATACGTTGCGTGTGTCTGTCGGCTGGCTCCCCTCGCTGCACACGGCGACCCCAGCACCGTCCGCGGGGTCCGCGCCAGAAGCCTGTTCGTGGGCTGGGACCCCACCGCACGGGAACACGCGCTTTGTCCCTCGGTCTGCTGGCGCGGGCCTGGGTGGTTTCTGGGTTTTGGCTTTTGCATCGTCAAGCTGAGAACATACCTCATGTCAGCGATACTTTGAACTTAGCTTCCTCCCCAGCCTCCCTCTCTGCAAAGTGGGTTCAGTAGGATTCATTTTTACTTTCTCCCCTTCGTGCGCATTACGGCGACGAAGAGCAACAGGAGTGACCGTTTCAGGCCGGACCAGGGATCCTCCCAGGCAGTGACGCCCTCGGGTGCCAGAGCCATGGTAGTGCCTTCGGGTCTCCGGTTTCAAAAGCCAAGGTGGTGCGGACGCCCTCTTTGGGGGATGTCAGGGCAGCCCGAGGACCGGCTTCTGAGAGAGGCCACCCGTGTGAGCGGGGCTGCAGGCTCCCAGGGGACCCTGGAGTCTGCCCTGGGGAAGGCTGGCGGGTGGCAAGGGAAGGCGCGGAGGTCTCCAGCAAACCAGGGGAGAGCAGGTGTGAGGTTTCTGCGGCAGCTCGGAGAGAGTCTGGCTGTCGGGAGTTGCTCCCTCCACCCCACGCTGGGTTCGTCGTGAAGTGTAGCCGTGGGGCGATTCCTGGTGCCTTTCTGGGCTTGTTCCTTATCATTTATCGCCCTTCCCACAGCAGCTCCTAGGAAAGGCCCGTGCCTCTCTGCCCACACCCTCTTCCCTTCTGAGGGCTCCTGGGTAGTATCTGGAGTTGCTTCCGCGGCTCCTTCCAGCCCGGGCTGGCCGGACGGGGCCTGCAGGACCCAGGGGTGAGGGGGGCGGGTCTGCAGGCCTGAGCTTCCTAGTCCCTTCCTCCCCGGGCACTGAGCTGGGCTTTGCTCTTCCTTTTCCCACCGACAACCAGCGCTAGCACTTCCGTACGTCGGGTTCCCTCCGTGTGCCCAGACTGTTCCTTTCCCTGTGGGAGTGAAACATTCTTGCTCAGCTGGAGTCTAAAGAGATGGCAGTCTTTAGAGAAGTATTTCCTGGACGCTTGACTGAGCGTGGCCCTTGGGCTGCCTGCTGGGATCTCATTCTGCTCTGTGACCCGTCGACCCACGGACGGGCGCCGGCGCTGGCAATTGCCAGAGGGCAGCTTGGCGACCCCTCTAGTCTCCGCTGTCGCACATCTGATGACGTGCTTACGGGCAGATTCTATTTCTCAGCGTCCCCAGGGTCTTGTGGGCACTCGATGCTGTGTCCCCCGTCTCGGGAATAGATGCGAGCTTCCTGCCCGAGTGACAGGTGGTTTCACCGGTGGCGTGGGGCACGTGGTGCGCAGCGGTGGGCGTGGGGACAGGCCGGGGGTGTGGGCGTGGGATTGGTACGGCTCGGCCACTGACAGGATGTGTCCCGAGTGAGCAGTGTGGGGTGACAGACAGGTTCCTGGCTTCAAGGAGAAATGGTGACACTCTTCCCGTGGGCAGAGAAGAGGGAGGACGAGCTTGGGTGAAATGTTGAGCCCGTCTTGTGCTGAGCCGGCTGCTCTGAGAACTGTGGGGTTGGCCTCTCCACCCCTGGGCGTGCCTGCTGCCGGGGTGCGGGGTGAGGGCAGGGTGAGGGCCTGACGTCTCCTGCTCCAGCTGGGCAGGACCCGGGGGTGGGGCGTGGAGAAACACGGGAGGCATGAGAGTCTGCTGCCCTGGCGCCTCGGGGAAAGAGGCTCAGAGAAGAGTTTCCTTGGGGAGAAGCAGAGCAGGTCGGCGTGAGTGAGTGTCCTTGTTCGAGGGAATCTAAAAGTTTTTATGCTTTGTGTCTTCAAACTTCTTTTTAAAGTTTTAAGGTCAGCCTGGGATTTAGCATAAAGATAGTTTACTAAGAACTCAGTGAAGTGTTTTCCAGTTTGTATTTAGCAGTGGGGGATTCTGACCCTCTTGACTTCAGTGGTGCAGGCTGTGGCGGTGGGACCCTCCCCTTCTGCGTGCTGTGCGGGGGGCGGCCCGGGGTCTGGGGGGGGGGGCCTGTCCTGTCTGTCTTGTGCGGGAACTCCGGCCCAGCTGGTCTCACGGGGTGAGGGGGGTGTGGGGGTGGTCCTGCTGCGTGTGGCTAGAAACCCCGCTGACACTTGGTGATTCCTGCCCTTCTCATCCCTGTGTCTCCAGGCCTGTCGACCACTTGGTCTCAGAACTCCCGGACCCAGCACAGGAGAAGCTCCTGCTCCAGACCCGAGGACCGGAAGCCCTCCGAGGTAACTTCCCGAACGCCGGCGTGGCTGCATGCTGGACTCGCGTGTGCGTGAGAACATGCGACAGCACACACCCCTGAGGCGGATGACTGATGTCGGCCTGTGAATCTTGGGCAGGACGCTCGACCTTCCTGTGCCTCGGTTCCCAGCTCTGTCAGAGGTCACGCGGGTGTGCGCCGCGGGGCGCTCCTGGAGGTCGGGGGGTCCGCGGGGAGGACGCGGGGAAGGCAGGGCTGAGAGAACGGCCGCCGTCACCGTCGCTGACCGCGGCCTCCGCTTCCTTCTCCGCTCCCTCCCCGCCGGCCCCAGCCGCCCGTCCTCTGCCCCGGACACCGGGGGTCCGGCTGCCTGCCCAGCACTGCCAGCCTCGCGTTAGTTTTGGCCCTAAGTCTGCGGCTTACTTGGCAGCAGCGGTGTGATTCTGGGAGTTGAGTTTTGGGCAGGACGCCGAAGGCCCCTCCCCCTCTCCTCCAGTTTGTTTGTTTGTTTGTCCTGTGCCCCCCCCCATTCCCTGTGTTGTCATCCGTCTGCCTGTCTGTCGTTTTTCCTCTGTCCGTTGGTTAACGTTATTTTTAGGCGCATTTCTCTGCTGGCCTTGGTTGATGAGGGGCTCCTGCCAGGCCTGAGACCTGTTTCCTCTGAACGCCTTTGCTGGGCTCTGAGGGTTTAAGCCACTGAAGAAAAGTCGTTTGAGTTTGTCCCGGTTTTCCCGGGAGCAGGCTGCAGGCCAGGGTCCGGTTCGGTCCCTGGGGTTTGCGCTGCCTCCTGGGGGTGGGAGTGGCCTCTCAGACCGCATTGCCCACGGCACCTCTTCTCCCGCTGACACGGGTGGTGCCGGCCGCCGAGCTGGCGTGCAGGAGGCAGTCTCCCTCCATGAGGAAGGGGTCCGCATCCCTTAGAACTGTGGAAACCTCCCAGGAGACTGTCGCCTCCATCCATTCCGGGCTCTGTCCCGTGGCACCGGCGCTGCCCCCTCCCCTTCGACTCCCTGTGCTGCTCCCGAGGCCCCCGCCGCCTTTCCCACACTCACACGGGCTCCTGTGGCTTCAGGGCAGGAGGCCGGTGGGCGGCGGGGGCGGGGCTGGAACCTGGCACCAGCAGCAAGGGGGGCTGAGAGCAGCGTAAAGGGTGTTGCCTTGTCCCTGATCCATGTTTTCTTCCAGCTTTTTCCTAAAATTTCTGCGTTCTAACACCTTTATACCTAAAGCACTGACACTGAACTCTGCCGGGATCGTGGGCATTGGTGTCCATTGGGGACACTGGTTTCGGTGTCTGGCCACCCCCTTCCCAGTCTGCTAGCAGGCTACCTCTTCTCTTCTTGTGGCTTCAGCTTGAATTTCCTTCTTTGGAAAACTCCTGATTTTTTTTTTTATCTTACAAGACTTAGTCGGAATGCCTTTTCTTTTCTTGTTAACTATGATTCTTGACGATGTGGACCTGTGCCTTTGTTGTAAAGGGCTTGTCCTTGCGGGGGGTGGTACTCATGCTTTCACGGAGGGTGCGAGCCGGCTCCAGTGTTCCCGGGACTGGGGTCGAGGAGCAGTGTGCGGGGGAGGCCAGTGTGCAGGGGAGGCCAGCGCCAAACAGCAGGCTCAGGCACTGCCCCAGACTCGGCCGCGGCGAGGTTTGTTAACGCGATCGCCAGCCTGAAAAGCCCCCAGGAGAAACAAGCGGGGACCTCTTCGCAGGTCTGCCCTGTGAACCGCGCTCCGCAGCCCAAGAAAGAGCTCCCTGTCCCCTTTAGAAGAGCGAGTTCAGCACTGTGACTTGTGTAAACAGAGGGGTCCCAGACGCAGGCTCGAGCTGTGCCAAATGCCAGTCTGGGCTGGCGCTGATGCCGGGCCGGAGCTTCCTTCTGTCTCCCCGAGACCGTCCTGGACTGGGGTCAAGCACAGGCTGGGAGACAGTGCCCGGCTCCCGCCCCTGTCGGGAGTGGGGGTGGGGCGTTGCTGTGTCCCCCTGGGCCCGTGACACAGGAGTGAGGGCCCGTCCTGGCAGCCAGCACCCTTGAGCCTCGTGGGTCTGCTCTTCGCAGGCCGAGAGAGGGCAGTGCCTTGCTTCCTTTCCTCCCCCTCCCCCTCCTCACACAGACGCCGCCTCGCTCGTAGAGACTGTCCGTGCAGGGGAAGGCCTGCCAGCATGTGCGTGCTGAAGGCCCACGCTGGGGCTGGGCTCCACTGGTCTGTCCCCCCCTGCGCTTGCCCGGCACGACCGCCCAGATGCCTGGCCCCACGCCGGCCCCCGGGGGCCTGGGCTGGGAGGTGGCCGCCTGAGGGCAGAAGCGGAGGCCCTGGCGGTGCTGGGATTGGGTTTGAAGTTGCTCCGTGGTTGGTGGAGCTTTGTTCCTTAAATATCTGCCAAAAGTGCGGTTTTGAGTGAAACCCCTCCCCCAGGGATCTCCGTGCCCAGGTTTCCGCAGCCCTCGGGGACTCGAGAGTTTGGGGAAGTGGCCTTGCCGCCGGTGCTGCTGCGGCGTGGCCGCGGCCTCTGGGGTGGGGCACGTGAGCCTCAGGCCAGGGCATGGCCGACTCCGGCTGTGCTGTCCCAGGCCAGGCCAGGCCGGCGGTCTGTCGGTCCAGTGACCTTGTTTCGTGGCAGCGCCATGGCAACGCTGCCGCCTCCTGCGCTCTGGGTGCGAGAAAACAAATATGCAGCGGCAGTGGCCCTGTCTCTCCCCTTCCAGGTGTTTCGGACGGACCTGATCACCGCCATGAAGCTGCACGACTCCTACCAGCTGAACCCGGATGAGTACTATGTGTTGGCAGACCCCTGGCGGCAGGAGTGGGAGAAGGGGGTCCAGGTGCCAGTGAGCCCAGGGACCATCCCGCAGCCTGTGGCCAGGTAGGCGCGCCCGGGGTCAGCGCCTGCCGCCCGCCCGCCCCCAGGGCTCCCTCCCCCGGGTCCCCAGGGGACACGGGGTAGAGACGCATGCCGGGCCCAGAGGGCGGGGACCGGCAGGCCCGTGGGCCCCCAGCACTGACTGGCGTCCCGGCCACCTGGGGGAGGCACTGCGCTCTCAGCAGGTGCTGGGTCTCACCACTGGAGGGACTGGCTCGGGTGGGGCTCGGACCAACCCCACCCCCAACCCCCCGTGTCCCGCACTCGCGCCTCCGTCCTCAGCCCCGCACACACGCTGCGCGGCAGCGCTGCTCGCAGGGGTGTGTGGCCTTGGGCGCCCACCAGGGTGGCTTCCTGGACCCCACGGCGGTCGCTCCCTTTGGAGGACAGGTGTGTGGGGGCCAGGCTAGTGGAGAGGGCGGACTTGGCCACTTCTTCCTGCGGGCTTTTGTGGCTTTGCCTATAAACCACCTTCTCCCTCGAGCCCTCGGGGGTCAGGCCCTCAGCGGCTCAGCTCCGTGCGGGCCGCCCCCGGTTTGCTCCTGTCTCCGGCCAGCCCCGCTCCCTGGGCCCCGCCGGCCGGGCCCTCGCAGGGAGGGCGGGTGGGTGCCCTGCGCCGCCTGCGCCGGCCTCTCTGCTGGGGCCTCGGTCAGCTGCCTGCCCTGCGGACGGCGGCTGCCGCTCACCGTCCCTGGTGTGGACGGGACTCGCCCCTCGGGCCTCCCCCACGCCGCCTCTCCAGGCACCTGAGCGGGTTGGATTTGATTATTGCCCGTGGCATCTCTGCAGCAAACAACCACAGAGATTCGTGGGTTTAAGTGGCCGATTGGATAGCCTCCGGGGGCCAGGTTCCTGGCTGCGGGCGGGGTTTGTCACCTGGCTCTCGGGGACGGATACGTGTCTGCCTTAGAGGTCGCGTCCGGGGCGTGACCCCGGCTCAGCGACCCCCAGCCGGAGATTTTCACCCATTTGTCCGTTTCACGGGGGAGCCCAGTGCACAGGCCGTCGGCCTGAACACACATTGTAGATGTTTGCAGCCGAAACCCCGCTGGGTCCAGTCGTAGGAGAACCAGCTGTTGGGTCCGCCCGTCTCAGCGCCCCGCACAACGAGACCACCCTAGTAACGAGGGGGGTGGTGCCCGGGCAGAGTCCGCAGACGGCTCGGTGGCGGTCACGTGAACTGCTGACAGGGAGCTGCGGGCTGCGGGCCAGGAGGACCCGGTCGTCTCGGCTGCCCTCCTGGCCTCAGGGCAGGGCGTGGCGGACCATCCTCCTCCATGCGCTACTTGGGGACCCAGGGCTCGGGCGAGGGGAGAGGGGACCCGTGGCCCCGTCCCCGAGTGGACGCGGGGAGAGCCCCGGCCCGGCTCACACTCGGGTGCTGAGACCCCCGAGTAACGCTGACCTTGCTTGGGCAGCGGCTTCTCCCGTGGTCTTGCCGCACGGGCTGTGCCCGCGCTCGCTCCTCGGGGGTGCTGACAGCCCGGGGCGCGGCCTCCGGCGCAGCGGGCAGGCCGGGCGGGTGACGCGCTGTGGCGGGTGGCCCGGCACACTCGGCGGGCGCGGCGGCTGAGCCCGGGGAAGGCGCTGGGGTTCCGCTGCGCTGACTTACTTCACTCGGGTCTCTTCCTATTGGGGGCTGTGAGGACTCGCACTCAGTGTTGTCAGTGTGGCGCTGGGGGCGAAGCCTGTTCAGCCAGTGACGACCTTGGTCTTAGGTGGAGGCGGGGTCTCCCGCGGGGCCTCCGGTCAGACGTCCGCGCTGTCCGCGGCAGAGACGGTGACCCGGCCGCCTGGACTCTCGTTCCGCAGGGTTGTGTCGGAAGAGAAGCCCCTCGTGTTCATCAGGCCCAAGAAACACATCGTCTCCTCAGGCCCCGAGCCCCCTGAGCTGGGCGGCGTGGGCCTCCGCGTGCTGGCCGACGGCGTGTGCCGCTACGACCTCAACGACATGGACGCCGCCTGGCTGGAGCTGACCAACGAGGAGTTCAAGGAGATGGGTGAGGGCCCCCCCACCCCGTCCTGTCTGCACACTCGGGCGCTGAGGGTCCCCTGTCGTGTGGGCTTGGTGTGAGGGACCGTGAGGGCTGGTCTGCGTCGGTGCTGTGGGCTGAGGGAGGGCGCAGGTGCCCGCCCGCAGTCCGGTGCAGAGCCGGTCCCCACGGGGTGTTTGTGGTCGGTTTCAGATCCCACCCCGCCCCCCCGCCCCCCTGAAGGACGGAGGCTGTGGTTTTGTCTGGTGTCGCTCCATGAGGTCAGCACAGGGCCGGCACGGGCTGCATGCTCACGGCTGCCCCCGCCCCACCGGCTGGGAGCTGCCGTGGGGACTCGGCCGGGGACGTCGGTGTTTTGATACACGACAGGACCTTCCTCGCGGTTCTTTCTCTTGGGCATTCGTGGCCAGGGTGTTAGCAAGCCGAGTGGCTGTTTCCCCATAAAGCTGCTCTGAGGTTTTCAGAACGCTCTTGGAGGAGAGGTGAACGCCGCGTTTCAGCTTCGTACCACACAGCCCCGCTCTGGCAGCTCTGCAGAGGGCAGGGGTGCGCTGGCCGGGCGGGGCGCCCATGTCCTGCTGGAGGGCACAGTGGAGACGCGGGCGCCAGCTGGGGGGTTGAGTTGTGAGAGTCCTGGGCTGCAGCTTCCGACTGGAAGGCAGTGCCCAGCCCCGCAGGTACCCAGTTGTGTAGCGTACACGGAACACACGCTTGTACCGGTCTTTTAATGGTGGAAAGTGATGGAAGGGCGCGGGATTGCATCTCACAGCCAGCGGTGCTCCCCGAGCCGGCAGGAGGGGGTGAGGCGGAAATGCCCGGCCCGCACGGACAGTCCGGCTCTGGGCGGGGCTCGCCGTGCCGGGCGGCCTTCTGGAATACGTGGTCAGAGCTGACCACAGTGTCGGCTCTGGTGTGTCTCCTCTGGTTTTTAAAAAACCTAAGAAGTGTGAATTTGACAGTTCTGACTTCACGATAGTGCACAGAAGTTGTGGCTGGCTCCGAAGAGATTTCTGTTGTTTCTCGCCACGCCAGTGTTCTGGGCGAGCCGTGTTTGCAGCTCGTGTCTCCCTCCTGCACGGGTGTGTTCGTGGCGGGAGGTTCGGGCTCCGTCCACAGGTGGAAGGAGGCAGGAGTCTCCCCCAGCGCTGGCTGTAACCATGACAACCACTGGAAATGTCGCTCACTCTTGCCCGAGACGGCATTGCGTTGGACTCACGATGAGAGGTCTGGTCTCCCTCCCTTCAGCACTCCCAGTGGTTTGGCCTCTGGTGGGTCCGCCGAACTGTGCGTCTCACCTTGGTTCTTAGGGTGAGGGGGAGGAGCCGCTGCCAGCACCCACTCCCGGTGCTCACAGTGGCATCCGTTTCGAGCGCCGTGAAAAGCAGCAAGTGAAGACTGTTTTCCAAAAACATTCACACCGGAATCCAGGGCTGTGGATTCCGAGTCACTTCTGTGACCTGATCGCTTGTGTTCAGCACCGCAGCGAAGTGACCGTCCTGGATCCCTGCTGGGTTCATCCTGTGCTCCTCTACTTCCCACACTGCACCCCGGGCTGCGCCCGACCGGCTGGCTGCAGAGAGGACTCCGCCTGCCTTTCCATTCCGGCACCCTTCCTTGGAGGGGCGGGGCGGGGCGCTCGGGACGGGTGGCCTGCCCTGTCGCCTGCTCCTTGTGCTGAGCTCCTCCCGCCCAGAGGCCCACCACGGTCGCCGGGTGGTGCGGTGGGAATGGGCGTGCTAACCGGGCCGGCCTCTCCCCCAGGGATGCCCGAGCTGGACGAGTACACGATGGAGCGCGTGCTGGAGGAGTTCGAGCAGCGCTGCTACGACAACATGAACCACGCCATCGAGACGGAGGAGGGCCTGGGCATCGAGTACGACGAAGACGTCGTGTGTGACGTCTGCCAGTCGCCAGACGGCGAGGACGGCAACGAGATGGTGTTCTGCGACAAGTGCAACATCTGCGTGCACCAGGTACGCGGGGCGCTGCCCCGGGGCCCGGGCTCCCGCTGTCCCCAGCCAGTGCTCCCCGTGGTTGAAGTATTTCTTGCCGCCGTGGCAACCAGAAGAATAGGTTCCTTTGTGGGACTCTCTTCCTTCACGTGCTCTCCTTCTGCCCACGGAAGTCGGGCTTCCTTACTCACGAGAACGCGGGAGCCCCCCGCCCCGCCCCAGCCCCGCCTTGAGGTGTCGAGCGCACTGAGAAAGCCTTGACGGGGTGGTGGTGAGCTGGTGGCGCTGGTCTCCCCGGGGTCACCGGAGCGAAGGGCCACGAGCCGGGGGCGGGGCGCGGAGCGGCCGCAGCTGGCCCTGCTGCAGTTCTGGAGACGGGGCGTCTGAGCCCGGCCGCTGCCCGGGCTCAACACCCGTTCGTTCCCCGGACCGGAGCTGCACGCTGCCTTTGTCTTGGGTTGTCCCCACCATGGGTGCCCTCGCTCTCAGCTGGCGTCTTCTCAGAAGGACGCCGGTCCAGCTGTGGGGTTAGGGGACCGTGGCTGAGCCGACAGCCTCCGCGGCGACCCTGTTCGCCGACACACCGCGTGCCAAGGTCTGGGTTAGGGCCGTGGCACAGCCTTGTGGGGTGCAGCCTCACCCACGACACCGGCTCAGGTGTTCGTGTGTGAGCTGAGCTGCTGGGAAGAGGGGAGGGTGCTCTTTCCTGGGACCTGCCTCCCTCCCCTCCCTGGTGGAGGCCCGTGGGCCTCGGTGGCTGCCGGCTGCCTCCCTGGACGGGTAGATCCTTCCTCAGCCTTCGCTGTGGATGGACACTGGGCAACTTGAAAAGCTTGGGACCGTCTCAGCCCTCGCGGCCTCTTCCGTTTGTTTGCCTGTTTGTTTCCAGTGCCGCGATGAAGGGAGCCGGCCGTCTGTGGGGACGCACGCTCATGCGCCTCCCGGGGTCTGAAAGGCTTCCCCGGGCGCTTGCTCTGGATTCACCTGTTGACGCCGGGATGTGCAGACTGGCTCGGACTCGGGTGGGGCTTGCTCGGGCGAGCTCTCGGGCGACTGTCCTCTTTAGAGGGACACGTCTGCCTCGGCTTCCCGCTGCCGCGGGCCTGACTGCCCGTCCCGTCCCGTCCTGCTTACTCTGCCAGGCGGGCGGGAGGTGCATGTCTCTCCCCTGAGTCCTGCGGGGCCGTCTCAGCTCTGGGTCTTTGGGTGCCCGGGCAGCTGCCGAGGGGTGGCCGGGCGTCCGTGTGGCGGTGGCGTCCTGCCGGCCTCTGAGCGGCGAGGCGGCCCTCGTTGTGGTGCCGCACCCCGGGCGACACGGCCGTCTCACCGGGTGGCTGTTTCACTCTCCCCCCGCCCCGAGAAAAATTTTGTTTGGGGTTCTGTTTGGAAACTTCTTGAACCCCCCGTTTCTCCGGTGAGTTAACTGGTGTCAGGGCCCCCACTGTGGGTGGGGGGGGCCCTGGGCTGCCCACCGCTGCCTGGTCCTGCCCCGGCAGCCACTGCGGCCCCCTCCTTACTCTCGCCTTGTGGCTCGTTTTTCCTCCTAGGTGATGTTCTTCGTGGCTTGACTTTAAGGCATATTCCATTTAATCTTTTAATTTTGTTTAGACTTTCTGTTCCAGTAAAAAAAAATTACCTCTCCAAATGTCGTTCTCCAGAATGCTTGATAGAAACCTTCTAGTATTTGAAACCTTAATCGTGCCACTTGGCTCTCTAAGCCTCCCCCCCCCCTGGGGTGGCCTGTGTTGACAGTGGCTCATTCACGGCTCCCACCTCGTGCCCTGAGCTCTGGGCCCCTTGCAGCCTCACCGCGCTGCACCCTTGTCCTGCGGTTTCCTCCGCGAGTCCTGGGCTCGGTGTGCCCAGGGCCGCGCTTTTCCTGTCTGGAGCGTTGGAGCTGCGCGCCGCCTGTCTCCCAACTTCCTGGCGTGGGGGTCGTCTGAGGACAGAGGGCTGCAGTCCGTGTTGTCCGGAGGCTCTGACTGTGCTCCCGGTGCCACTGTGGTTTTGCTCCTTGGCTGATTGGACCTCGGCCTTTTCTCCCTTTGGAGCACCTTAGTGACGGCCGTGGTGATGGCCTTGACTGCTACAGTGTTGCTGTGCTGTGTAGTGTTGCTGTCTTGTGCAAGGCAGGCTGTCGGGATCAGCGGAAGAGACCAGATTCTCCTTGTGCAGAAAGTCTCCCTTTTTGGGCCGATCAGGATCCTCTCAGGGGTGTTGGCTCGGGCTGGGGGGCGAGGACGCCCTTCGCTCTGGTTCTTCCCGGTGCCGTCCGGTCTAGGAGCGTTGGCAGACTCTCTGATGTTGCTTGTTGCCTAGTGCTTGTGCTCACTGTGGGTCCCGCCCACGGGGGAAGGCCGGAGAGCCGGCTTCCCCTGCTCGGCCAGGGGGCGGCTCTGAGGAGTCACTGCTCCGGTTCCGGGAGTCGGGGTGGACGGGTGTCTGCAGGATGGCCGCCCCCGCAGGCCCCCCTGGCCCCGGGGCGTCCTCAGACCGCGTGGGCCTCGCTGCACTCTGCTGCACCCACGCGTGTCTGACACCTCTGCCGTGCTGGGACCCTCGCTTTTCCTGAAGGGCGAGGGTCCCTGCGAGGTGGGCGTGGCGGGGCCCGTGTTGCTGCTTGTTCTGTTAAAACCCTTCCAGGTGGTGTAAAATTAATAGCTGGAATGAGAAAAGTGGACCTTTCTCTCTTCCCCTCTCTTCCCTGGGGGCGTGCCGGGGCCCTGCAGGCCTGCTACGGAATCCTCAAGGTCCCTGAGGGCAGCTGGCTGTGCAGGACGTGTGCCCTGGGCGTGCGGCCCAAGTGTCTGCTTTGTCCCAAGAAAGGCGGCGCCATGAAGCCCACCCGCAGCGGGACCAAGTGGGTGCACGTCAGCTGTGCTCTGTGGATCCCCGAGGTAGGTGTGCACGGGCGTCAGGGGCTCGGCCCAGGGGTCCTGGCTCTGGCTGGGTTGGGGGAGGGGCGCTCATCAGTAGGCCCGGTGGTAGCTGACAAGGACAAGGACACCTGTTAAGTGATTCCCGCTGCCCCCTGGCCCTGAATGTCCAGCACACCATCACCTTGTCACGGGGGTGCACCTGGGGAGGTGTTCACCGGAAGCAGTGGCAGGTCAGACGGTGTGCAGACTTGGAGGCAGAGGTCCCGCCTGGGCGACCGTCTGGCGAGGCCGCACCCCCAGCTTCAGGCCTGCAGCCAGCCGCACGGCACGGCCGGTCCTTCCCCAGGACGGACGGTGCCTGCCAGCCGCGTGCACGGCGCCACCACGCTGAAGGAGCCGCTGCTCTGGGTCACACTTTGGTGATTCTTATTAAAATTCTCTTAGCCACAACCTTTTTAATTTCAGGTCTGGTGTAATTTATTTCAAGTCCCAGACCTTGACTAATTTAATTTGCATGGCTCACTGTGAGAATACCATTTGTGATTCAAATTTCAGAGTTGTGTGGTGGTGTGTGTGTGTGTGTGTGTTTTAAGTGTGTGATTTTTGGTGCGTTTTCCTCCCGAGGAGAATGGTCTGGGCACGGTTTGGGTTGTGGCGTCGGCTTCGTGCCTTGGGTCTTGGTGGCACTGGATCTGGTGGTTTGCTAGTAGCAGGGACCCAGCTCAGCCGCCCCGCCCCCGTGCCGGGAGAGCCCGTTGTGTCTCGGTAGTTTTCCACTCCGTAGTAACCTTTTGAATTTGGAGAGAGTGGTTTTCCTCAGTGAGAGAGACATGAAAGTCACTGTCGACTTCCTCCATCTCCAGTCCTGACCACGTCACTGTGGGCCGGAGGCGTAGTGGGCGGCCTGGGCGAGCACTCGGGTGGGAAGGGGGTGCTCGTTCCCCTGGGCCCATCACTCCCTGGGCGCATGGCAGGGGCGGGAGCTGTCCTGATGGTTAAGGTGTGGGGGGGTTTGCCTGTCCGGGAGGCCGAGTGCCTGTGCGCGGCTCGGGGGAGCGCGCAGGCAGGCGCTGGCCTGGACGTCGGTGGCCCCACATTCGGCCCGCGTCTGTCTGCCGGCTCTGGCCACACTCTCCCTCTCGCTGTGTCTCGGCCCCCAGGTGAGCATCGGCAGCCCCGAGAAGATGGAGCCCATCACAAAGGTGTCCCACATCCCCAGCAGCCGGTGGGCCCTGGTGTGCAGCCTCTGCAACGAGAAGTGCGGGGCCTCCATCCAGGTATGGCCTGGCCCCAGGGCTCCGTGCCCCCTCCCCCGAGTCACAGGGAGCAGGGTGGGCAGGCACTCGGGGAACTGGGGGTTTGGAGGTGGAACTGGAATCCAGGACGCAGGACAAGGGGCTCACAGTTCTCTGGAGGTGGCTAGGAGCGGCTCTGGCGTGGTCTGAGCCCGTGGGTGGGTGGTGTCTGGTGCAAGCAGAACCCCGGCTTAGCCACCACCGGGCGGCATCTCCCGGGGAGAGAACCAGTCTTGACTCTGGAGGGTCGGCCACCCTCTTACCTGTTTCCTTGCCAAGTGGCAGACCCACCTGTGCCTGCCCAGTGCTGCTGCTTTGCTCTCCCAGGCGTGTGCACAGGTGTTGGGTCTTAGGTGCAGCGTGTGACGTCAGCCGGGTGTGCTGATGGTCTTGCATCTGGTTGACCAGGCTCCTCGGGCCACCAGCCGGCTGCAGGGGCCCCGCAGGGTGCTGCACTGAACCCGGTCTGGGCGGCTGGTTCTCTGCGGCACCTCTCGTGTGCGTGTGTGCGCCCACAGCCTGTTGCGTGTGCGTGTACGCCTGCCTTCCCTTTGCCCGCGTGCAGATGAGTGCACAGAGCCTCCCGGTGGAGGGAAGGAAGGGGAGCGCGGAGGTGGCGTGCTGCCTTTTTTTGTCTTCTCTACACCTCCACCCTTTCTGGTTCCTTTCTGGTGCTCGCGTTGTCGGCACCTCCGGGTCGCCAGGACTGCAGAGGCCTGAAGGGAGGCTCCCCGAGGTCGGCCGTGCTGCCCGAGGGCCAGGCAGCAGCTCGGGGCCACGGCGGCCTCCGCCCCCCGGGCACGCACCCTCCGGGAGCCCCGTCAGACTGCGCGCTGCGTGTCTTAAAGAAGTGGCCTCGTTGGGCAGAACCAGTTCGTTTGCCTGATAAGTATTTCTTTTGCTGAGGTACCTGTTGGCTGGTGGTTTTTAAATTTTTTCATTTTGTACACCAAATAGTTGTGCGTTCTTTCGTTATCAACCGGTGTTCGAGAATCCGGAACGCAGCCAGTGTTCAGAGGGCGAGGCACGAGGCGGCTGGTGGGATTTGGCTGCGGACCTTGAAAACGGTGCGGGTGTTCGTGTGCGAATAGAACCTGCTTAAACCTGAGCCACAGCAGAAAGCCTCTGGCCTGAGAGTTGTGTTGGGAGGAGGGGGAGGAGGAAAGGTTCGAAAGCCTCAGAGTGAAAAAAGGCTCTGGGCTGTGTGTGCACGTGCGCGCCCAGTGGAGCCCACGCAGAAACCCGCGGGGGGAGGGAGGCCCCGGACGGACGGACGGATGGGCGGGGAGGTCGGCTCCTTCCAGGTGCTGACGTTCCCGGGAGGGCGGGGCTGTGCGGGCAGGCGGCAGGGCCCCTGGTCCTCCCCGGTGCTCGCCAGAGGCCGGTGAGCAGGACCCTGGTTCCTCTAGTGAAGGGAGAGGACACGGTGACATTTTTGGTGGCCGTTGACCTCGTTGTCCCAGAACGTTAACCCGGAGGAGAGGAGGCCAGGGAAGGTGGACGGTTTTTCGTCTCGGCGCGGAAGGGGCCGACTTTTATTAAAGAATTCCTCCCTGAAACGCCTGCAGCTGTGAGGGCCCGGGCTGACGGTTCTGTAACATCTGTGTGCTGAGTCAGCCCGCGTCGGAAAACCCGCAGGAAGGCCGCCTGGCGTCTGCACAGAGCCCTGTGTAAACATCCCGCGGCTGCGCGTTCCTCCCGGAGGCCGGCGCGCCCGGGCCAAGTGCGGCCTCAGCCAGAGGCTGACGGCGCAGCTTCCCTGGCCTCCGCTCCCACCCGGGCTGGGGGCTGGGGGCTGGGGCTGGGGCTGGGGCTGGGGCTGGGGCTGGGGCTGGGGCGCGCGTGTCCCCGTGGCGGTGGCCAGGTGGGCATGTGTGTGTTTGGCCCCCGAAGCCGACTTCACACGGATCTTGGAGCGGAGGTTATGTGCAGGTGAAACTACAGGTTCCTGCCCGCTCCTGTGCTTCGGGTGTTGGTAGGGAGGAGAGGGTGAAGGGAGCAGGTGTTCTGCGCCTGTGGGCAGAGGGGCGTGGCCACGAGGAGGCAGCTCTGACGGGCAGGGTCGCCTCCCCTGAAACTCGGGGGATGCAGGGAGAGCCCCAGCTCCAGCCTCTGCCGCTCGTGGTGTGGGCTCTGCTTGGTGAGTTGAACTAAGCTTTGCAGCCGCTCGCCCGGCGCGCTGGGCTCTGCGTCTCTGCAGCTCTGCAGCTCTGGCCGGCCGGGTCACGTGGCCCCACCCGGCGCAGAGCTGCTGTGAAGGGCCTGGCTTCCGCCCCACCTGGAACCTCTTCCAGGCCTTGCGTCCGGTGGGATCAGATGGGGAAGTTAATCACTTGCCTCCTGCCAGGCCGCTGGCCAGCTGTCTGGGCTCTAGGCACTAAATCACAGCCTGATGCGGCCGCTAGTGGTAGGTGGCCCCTCAGGAAGGAGGGGGGCACAGCCCATGACGCCGGGCCTCCTGGTGACCTCCTGACCCGCGGGATCAGGTCCTTCCCGCTCGCTCTCTAACACTGTTCCCGGGGCCCAGAGCGGCCAGCTTGGCCAGGCGGGGCACGCGTGGGGCTCCGCTGCCCCCACCTGTGCTGGGACTCTGTCCGCCCGGGGCCAGGGCTGGGCATGAGGTGTGGGCTCAAAACTCCGACCAGTGCTCTTTCTCCCTGGGGGGCTTCCTGTCACCCCAGCCTCTCTTACAGGTGAGACGAGAGCTCACGTGCAAAGGCACACTCACGCTTCTGCGTGCACTCTGCACAGGAGCGCGAGTTCTTGTGAGTGCAGTGTGAGTGCCAGACCCCTCGGTCACACGTGCAGTCACGCCTCCCTGAGAGGCCACGGGGCCGCAGGCCCCGTCTGAGGTTCCGTGTCTGCGCCCCTCACCCCCGGCCTTCCCGCACTCTGACCGAGGCGGCTGGTCTGCCGGTGCTCCTCCTGGGAGCTCCGCCTCAGCGTGCGCTGGCCGTGCAGCTCCGCACGTGTGTGTGCACGTGGGGGGTACATGGCGCCGAGGGGCCCAGCCACTGCCCTGCCTGACGGTCTCTCCTCTTGTCATCTCCCCCGACCCCCCCAGTGCTCCGTGAAGAACTGCCGCACGGCTTTCCACGTGACCTGTGCTTTCGACCAGGGCCTGGAGATGAAGACCATCTTGGCGGAGAACGACGAAGTCAAGTTCAAGTCCTACTGCCCGAAGCACAGCGCCCACAGGAAAGCCGAGGAGAGCCTCGGGGAGGGGGCCGCTCAGGAGAACGGGGGCCCGGAGTGCCCCCCGCGGAGCGCGCTGGAGCCCTTCGCCAGCCTCGAGCAGAACCAGGAGGAGGCGCACCGGGTGAGCGTGCGGAAGCAGAAGCTGCAGCAGCTGGAGGACGAGTTCTACACCTTCGTCAACCTGCTGGACGTCGCCAGGGCCCTGCGGCTGCCCGAGGAGGTGGTGGACTTCCTGTACCAGTACTGGAAGTTGAAGAGGAAGGTCAACTTCAACAAGCCCCTGATCACCCCGAAGAAGGACGAGGAGGACAATCTGGCGAAGCGGGAGCAGGACGTCTTGTTTAGGAGGCTGCAGCTGTTCACGCACCTGCGGCAGGACCTGGAGAGGGTAATGATTGACACCGACACCTTGTAGTGACCTAGCGAAGAGGATCGCGCAGAGGCCGCCGCGCGCCCCAGCCGGGCGTGGTGGCTGCGCGCCCGCTGCCGGCCCTGCACGTAGCTGCAGCGTGAGGTCGCGCCGGTTCAGTGTCCGTGGGCTGGGAGACTCGTGCAGACGTGCGGGACCACCATGGGGCGGGGCGCTCCTCTGTGACTTATTTTTAACTACTTCCCTGTTAATCCTTACTGTCCTTCCTCAAGATTCAGTGGGGGTGTGTCCCCTCCTCTGTGCCAGAGCTAGAGGGAACTGAGCCCCAGCAACAAGGGCCAGAGTTGCTGACGCCCGGAGTCAGAAAACAAGAATGGATTTGGTGGGCCGGGGCGGGCAGAGGAGGGGAGAGATCTCGGGCAGCCTGGGGCACTCTCACTCACAGGTGCTGGTGGTGGGCTCACTGCTGTCTCCGTGCCCCCTCGTCCCCAGGGCTGTTGGGGAGCAGGGCAGGCTGTGGGAGCTGGGGCGTGGGACCTGTCTGTCCCCGGGTTCCGGCAGTGAGGTGCTAAGCCGTCCCCGAGGCTGTGTGTCTGTACTGTGTGTGTGTGTCTGTGTCCACGTGTCTGTGGTGTGGCCACCTGTGGGTGTGGGGGTCCTAGTCCCGCTCAGCACGCCACTCGTCACACACAGCATCGCCGGGGGTGGTGGCAGTGGGCTGCCTGGGGCCGCTGCCAGCCTCCCAGCGGCGGCTGCTGCTGTGTGCCTCCCCCGCTCCGCTGCCCTCGGAGCCCCAGGCCAGACCCCTCTTCCTGCCCCAGGAAGAGTCGGGAGTGGGCCGGCTCCCCCCCCAGGGCGGCTTCTCCCTGGAACGGGGCAGGGGGTGGGTCTTCCAGCGCCCTCTGTGTCAGCGCCCCCACTGATGAAATTCATTAGTGCCCAGAGACCGGACCCGGCTTCCGGCCTGACGCAGCGTGCGCTGGAAGGCAGCACCGCATGGCCCGAGAGGGAGAGAGAGGGAGTGCATCTTCCCCAGGCACCTCACTTAGTGGGGAGTGGTCACCTGCCCGGGAGAGACCGACTCGGGTGGTTTGAAGTGAGAGTGTAGGCAAAGACTAGGGATGCACAGGAGAGGTATCACTCCAGGAGATCCAGGTCTCGCAAGGAGACCTGCACGGCCCTGTCCGAGCGCCAGTGCGCTGTGACCCCCGTCCCCAGGTCAGGCTTGGGGCCAGGCGGGCGCCGGAGGAGGGCTGTGAGGCTCTCCTGCTCCCACACCCCCCCTGGTGGTGAGTGTGAAGAAGACCTCGCCACCCCCAACCACGTGTATGTGTGGTGTTTCTGTTCAGAGTTGAGACAGGGATTCGGAAGGATGGACTGGAGCCCTGGCGAGGAGCCGTGCGTGACCACCGCCGTACTCGGGCGCGTGCGCTGCGAGTCAGACAGTCCTCGGGCGGGAGGACGAGAAGGCTGCTGTCTGGACTGTGCTCGCCTCACCGCCACCACAGAATAAAAGTGTAGAAAATGCTTGTGGTGTACTAACTCTGTTCTGCACTTCAGCTGCTCAGATTAACACGCACGTATAATCAAATTCTGAACACTGTTCTGGAGTCGTCACTGTTGCTTTTCACGTAGAATGATGCCAATTATGTAATGAGAAACAGGGAATAAATCAGGATTTGTGTGTGTGTGTGTGCGTGTGGCATTACTTACGTTTACTTTCGTAAAGAGCCTGAGAAGATTGTAGGGTATTTAGTGGCAGTTTCAAATGGGCTTATTATAATGAAAAAATACGTTTTTCAAAATTTGCCACGAGGCCTGTGATGGCGGCGGCTTTAAAAGGCTCAATCTTTGCCGCGCCCCCGGGAGTGGCACGGTTCTCGGTGATGGTAAAGAGCGTCAGGTCGCTCACGGAGGCAGGCCTGACGGAACCAACCGCGAGTTAACGCTGTGTCTTGCGGCGAGGTCAGGGTTCTGCCCCGGTCCCACAGCACGTCACAGCAGGCACACAGACCAGCCCCTCCCTGGGACCATGACCATGGTGTGTGGTCGGTCCTCAGTCAGCAGCTGCCGCCCTTACTGATGCAGACGGCTGGTGAGCGAGGATGGTGATGCTCTTTCCTGCAAATCCACCCCTGGGCACCTCGCATATCTGGGACCCTCACTGGCTCAGAATGTTAGATGGCAGGAATGGGTTTCAGCAGGGCCTGGGCCCACGTCACACCTGTAAGAAGACACGCACACTGGTGTGTGGTAGGGGGTCGTGCTGAGGGTCCCAGGCCCTGACTCTCGGTGGGGTCCCCCCCCCGGGGTCTTGTCTCCAAGAGATGCAGTGAACGGTGCAGCCACTGAGTGCCCACTCACACGGACATGCTGCCTCTGCACAGCAGGCTAGGCACCTGGGGGTGGGGGCTCCGTCCTGCCCAGGGGAACGGTCCCTTCTGAAAGTCTGGTGCAGCTCCACTTGTCCCTGAGCAAAAGGCACCTTAAGCAGTAGTGTGGCAAGCAGTGTTCGGGATTCAAGAAAACCCCTGAACCCCTTTTCGGATTCCTGAGGGCTGTGGTCCTCGGAGTGGGGTCCCCAGCCAGCAGCAACATGACCTGGAAAGCCAGCAGAAATGCAGATTCGGGGGCCTCGCCTCTGCCTGCAGCAGCTCTGGGGCTGGGGCCAGCACTCCTGGTGAACGCCTGGCTGGGGTGAACGTGGTCTGAGAGTGCACCTGTGAGCAGGTTTCTTTTTTTTAAATCATCACCCAAGGACCGATTATTGATTTTTTTTTCTTCTTTCTTAGAAACATCAATGTGAGAGAAACATTGAGGTTGCCTCCTATGTGTGCTCCTGGCCGGGACGGAATCCACACCTTTATGGTGTATGGGAAGTGCCTCAACTCACTGAGCCACCCGGCCAGGATATGAGCTGGTTTTGGGGGCCATGTCCTCACAGCCCACTCTGGGGGAGGAGGAAACGGGAGGGGACTCGGGTGGGCGGCACTCAGGAGTAGCCAGGCAGGCCTGCTTGCCGACGGAGCCTCAGCTCCTCGTCCTGCGGGGAGTGCAGGCTGGTGCGCAGGGGGCTGTGGCCAGGGCCACTGGGGGGGGGGGGGGCTGATTTGTTCCAACCGAAAAGTGAGCCCCAGTCTGGGGTTCCTGGAGTTCTAGTTGGAGGGTTCTTGTTCAAGGTCATGGGGAATACAAGGGGTTTCCCAGAGAGCAGCCAGGGCGGACGCCTTCCCCGGAGCATGTGGTCGAAGCCACCGAAATTAAACTTGAAAAGGGACTGGAACTTGGGTCTCGGGCTTCCCCGTTTTCTGTATCTTTGAGTGATTTCAAGTAAGAGACCTAAACGTCTCTGTTGAACATCCAGCGTGAACAGGAGGCGGCCCAGCCGCTCGTAAGGGTCAGGGTTCGTTCCCATCTCCTGTTTTCAGAGGTCCGGTTCCTCGTCCGCCTGTGAACGTGGGTCTGCTCGTTCCCCAAGTCTGGAACCCCGTACCCGTTTCCTCTGGGTGGACCAGCGCTCACCACAGAGGGGAGCCCCCTGGCCCCGGCCGCTCAGGACTTCCCCAGAGGACACTGCTTCCTGGCCCAGGGGGTCGGCTGTGACATGAAGCTCAGGCTTTGAGGGGGGATCCTTACTCGGAGACGGGGAGTGATTTACTTGTCAGCTCTTTAAGGTACACACGGAATTTTTTCAGTTGAGAAGCGGCAGGAAGATGCTGAACAGTCAGTGAAGGAGGCGTTCCTGCTTCCTCACATGCGCTGCCAGCGGGGGAGCCCAGGAGGAGCTAGTGGTGCCTCGTGTCTGCTTGCCAGCACGGCTGCCTGGACAGCGGCGCTCGGTGGGGCTCAGTGGGGCTGAACCCCGAGGGGCAGGCCTGTGTGTGCGGCTGCTCATCCTCCTTGCTGCAAAGGGAAGGGTCGGTGACCTTTGGACCTCTTCTTTAAAGACATATTTACTGATCTTTAGAGAGAGGAAGGGAGAAAGACATCGGTGTGTTGTTCCACCTACTACTGATGCACTCATTGGTTGATTCTTGTGTGTGCCCTCGCTGGGGCTCGAACCCACAACCTTTGCATATGGGGGTGATGCTCTGACCAACTGAGCCACCCAGCCAGGGCCTGTTGGACTTTGAGTATTTGAAGGAAGGCAGCGAGGGAAGGCATTGTCAAGCGTAAGGAAGGCGTGGTTTTCGGGAGAGTAGTCACGGCTTGACGTGGGAGCCGGGCCGATTTGGGTCTTGCCCACACCTCCCTGCTGGAAGGCGGAGGTGTGCACCTGCTGTGTTGCGTTGTGTGACGTGTGTGTTCTCAGAACCCGTGCAGTCCACCCAGGTTCACCGACAGGCTTAGGACCGAGGGGTCGCAGGGGCCTCATGGACGACTCCTTGGAGTTCTCACGCTGCCCCTGTACTGACTCATCATCCCAGGCGGCTTTAAAGACAGGGAGAGGGAAAGAGTGACGGCCGATTAGTCAGCCCTGGTCCCGGAGCCTCTGCCTGTGAGGCCGTGGGCCACCCATCGATGCACAGCCGAGCTGTGGGCGCTTGGGTCTGTTCCGTCCCTCCCATGTGAGTCAGTCTGAGGGCCGTGGCCGCTTCTCCAGTGGTGACTCAGCCGGACCTGACCTTGACCCCGGCGAGGCCACGGCCGAGCGAGGGCGTGCCCTGGACATCGTGTTCTGTGTGAGCGCCAGCGGCCTGTCAGCTCCAGGACGTCTCGTGTCCAGCTGACCAGGACTTGGGCTTGGATTCTTGGGGACCACTTGGTCTTACATGGGGACAGTATTTGGGAGGGGGGGTCTCCTCTTCTGAGGGCACTTGACCCTGTGTTCACTGAGCTCCGTCTTGAGAACACACTCGATCAAGAGGTGGCTTTGAGCCTCCCTGGATTCTCCAGCTCCTGGGAGCGCGGTGCTGAGGGCTGGTGAGCCGAGTCTTCTGCGGAGCGGTAGCAGGGCCCCCACGGTTTTCCGGGGGACCTGCCTCCACAGTCTGCTCTCTGTGGGAATGAGTCCGAGGGGGGGTGTGGTGGGGCCGGGCCTTCGTTGGGTTCTGTAGATGCTTCTCTACCACCTACCCCGGCTGTGTCGCCGCCCAGGGCGGGAGGGGTATGTGCCGAATCCTCGTGAGCCACCCCAAGGAGATTAGCGATCGGAGAATGAAGTACGTTTTGATTTTAGATGCCGTGGCCAGGCTTTCGTAGGACAATTTTGTCTCAGGTAAAGGAAAAAGAAAAAAAAAAGCACCGAAGTACTGTTAACAATGTATTGCTTACTTAGAATCTTTATTCTCTACATTCTAGGTTCGGAACCTCACTTACATGGTGACCCGCAGGGAAAAGATTAAGCGATCTGTGTGCAAAGTCCAGGAACAGATATTCAATCTTTACACTAAGCTCTTGGAGCAAGAAAGAGTTTCAGGTATGCATACTCGGCCCTTGTAGGTCAATCCGTAGGGCAGGGGTTCGGAAGCTGACGCTCTGCTAGGGACAGAGCATCATGTTCCTTTCTCTCTCCTGCAGAAGACTCTGAGCAGCACAGGCCTTCATATTTAAAGACAGTCTTGAAGCATTGGAGGCACTTTGATATAGGGGGATGGGCGAGGGGTTTGGCCGCAACCACGGGTCGAATCCTTTGCCCTCTGCTGCCCGGCCCCACCCGGAGCGAGCCCCCGGTCTTCCAAGGAGCCCCGTTTCCTTGTCTGTAACTTGAGTATCGCAGCTGAGGCCTGGCAGCCGCTGTGAGACTCAAAGGAAAGAGTAACTTCTGTTTTGCAAGGCACTTGATAAATGTGAGGTGTCCCAGGGATACCTGAAAGAAAGGATTTGGGGGTCACCGAGCCTTGCGTCTGCCTGTAACACGCGGTGAAACGATCTTAAGTCTGTGTGCTCGAGGCAGACGCAAAGACGACGTTCTCAGTGGGCCTTTTGGTGTAGGTAGAATTTTGAATCTTTTGGAGATTTCAGTCCCAAGCATTTATGTATTTCGTGCCTTCTATTTTACATTGCTCTGGGCTAAGCAAGGAAGGGGGGGGAGGAACAAACCCACTGCAATTACTTGGAGATCAAATACAAAGCCGGGCAGTTGTCTAACCTCCCTGGGGCTCCGTGGATCTGGGAAGGACGTTTGGTCCGCAATCGAAGGTGCCTTTCAGCGCTGGCACGGGGGTCCCAACACTGGGAAGCTGGGAGGGGCGGGTTTCAGGGCGGGGGGGGGGGAGAGATCGTGAGCTGTGGTGTGTGGTCAGGCAGAGGCACAGACTCGTGGAACAGGCGGGTCCCAAGCAACAAGTCTCCGCACCTGGCTGCCCCCCTTCCCCGCTTCTGTGGCCTGGGGTGGCTGCAGGTGATCAGGACCCACGGAAACAGCAAAGGAGCTGTCACACTTACAGTGTGGAAACCTGAGTCTGGCTTCCCTAAAGCTAACCAGGTGCTGGGGTCTCGAGGCCCAGCGGGCCCTCCAGTCACGGACACCATTTCGTTGTGGCCTTGGTGAGCTGCCGTGGGGACCCAGCTCCGGGCTCTGCCAGTTCGCCTGTGGCACAGTCGGTTTCCCCGTGTGCCGTCTCGCTTCAAGTCGCAGAGCCTGGCGGCGCGAAGTGCAGACTTGCTGTAAGTGGGTCAGTGGAGCAAAGGGAAGGCGGCCGGGGGAGTGTGAGATGACGTTCTTGAAGCAGTACCTAGTTTGAGTGGCGTTAATTTATTAATAATATTACTTTAGGTACTTATGCCCAAGAGGAAAGGATTTCTGGATGTAGCAAGCTTATATCATTCGCTAGAAGTTAGTTGTAAGACTTTTAAAATAGATTTTTCCAAGTAGGTGACAGAAGTAAAAGCAGTTTGATTCAGATGTTTTGACGTGAACTTCTGTCTCTTCATCGATTATGTGGATGAATTCGAACTCGTGCCTTTGCCTGCGTGAGCAAGGCGGCCGGGGGCTGGGACGCTGGAGGCCTCCTGTGACCCTTGCTGCGGGGTCGCCTGCAGAAACTCACCGCAGAGAGCCTTCGCTCTGAGTCCTCTCGGGTCGTTTCTCGCCGGGGCTGCAGGCCGCTGCCCGCGCTGCCCCCTGCCCAGCCGGGGTGCTCCCTCAGGGCAGGCGCTGAGGCCGAACCAGGGGAGGTCGGCCGGTGCGGCAGCTGGCAGGTGGCCCTCCCCTCGGCACCAGTCCTGCTGCCGCTTCAGGAGAGGAAGGCCGGTGGCCTGCCTTCTGAGATGCAGACGCACCGGGTGTGGCGGGCGCAGAGCAGCGCCCCTGTCCCCTGGGGGCGCGTTGTGCCTCCTCTTCCAGCTTCCGGCGCTCAGCGGTGCTCCCACTCGTGCAGGCCCAGCGCCTGCCCCGTGGGAGGGGGGCTTCGAGGGGAGCAGCGCGCACGTCCGTGGCGTCCCTGAGGATGGGCAGGGCCGCTCTGCTGGACGGGCATCCTCAGGACACCCTGGCTGTGGGGGGTGCACATCAAGCCTAGACAGACGTCGGTCCGAAAATGCCCATCCCCCCTCATGGCTCTGTTCTCCCTCAGTCAGGGAGAAGGAGAATGACAGGAGTGGGGGGAGCTCGGCCCCAGCGTTGGGTTCTGGAGAAAGCAGGCGTCTCTGAACCAGCAGATTATAAGACGCCCTGCCCTGTGGGGGCAGCTCTCTGCCTAGAGTCCCCAGCTCTGTTCCCTTCTTGTGCTTGGCCTGTGCTTGCTTGGCAGCAGGCTCTCAGCCGGGCTCCAGCCTGGGGCTCTGGGACTCGGGCCGTACCTGGCATCCCCCGCCCTGCCCCCTGGAGGCTCACCGCTCGCTGGAAGCGTGTTAGGAAGCGTGTTAGGCAGGAGCGTGAGAACAGGTGTCCTTGCTGCTCTGAGGCTCCGGCAGAAACGTGGCCCTTCCCGTGAACCGCGGGTGCTAGGAGTCCACCCGGTGCTTTTCAGACCGAGGGTTCCGGTGTGTTAGTGGGTGTGAGAGGCAGTCAGTAAGCAGCGCATCAGCGGCATTAGAAATAAGTGAGATGGAAAGTGTCAGAGTGCATATCGGATGATGGAGGCCAACATGAGTTCATGATAAGTGAGCTTTCACTGAGTAAAGGGAAGTTTAGTTCTTACTGTGACTTGCATGAAATTAAATTTTTTTTTTTTTACTGTTTAATTTTAGAGGGAGGTGAAGGGAGGGAGAAAGAGGGAAGGGAAGAGTGATCGCTAGCCTCTTGTCCGTGCCCTGACGGGGGACCGAACTGGCGACCTCCTGCTCATCAGGGTGATGCCCAGCCAGCTGAGCCACACCAGGAAGGGCCGCGTGAGAAATGTGGGAAAACTACCAACTTTTAACTCATCCTCATGTTGGCTGACAGTTTAATTCCACGAACAGGTTTTACATATAATAATAAACTTCATTTTTAAATTTATTTTTATTTTATTTTTTTTAAAGATTTTATTTACTTATTTTTAGAGAGGGAAGGGAGGGAGATAGAGAGAGAGAGAGAAACATCAATGTGCGGTTGCTGAGGGTCATGGCCTGCAACCCAGGCATGTGCCCTGATTGGGAATCGAACCTGAGACACTTTGGTTCGCAGCCCATGCTCAATCCACTGAGCTACGCCAGCCAGGGAATAAACTTTATTTTTGACATTTGCTATCTCTCTGGGGTGATTTTGAACACCTTCCCTGACTCGTGTCACATGTTTACATGTATGTATCCTCATCATAGCCCTAGGAAGGCACAGACAGGAAAACTGGAAACGCTGTGGTCCCTGCCCTGGTCTCCTGGGGGGCACACCCACCAGTGACTAGCAGCTGCTGCTCGGGCACCAGGCGGCTGGTGGGGGCAGCACCTGACCGTGGGCCGGCCGCATGGCCTGCCTTTGAAAATCTGGTCAGCTCTTTTGTCGGAGGGAAATACATTCCTTGAAAAGGTGCTATTTTGTGAAAAATTCTGTGAACTTCGGCCGTTTTAGAAAATACAGCATTAAGTTATATGCCGACTGAGTGCAGATTCTCCAGGCAGGTAATATAGCTTTACTGTTCAAGTCAGATTTCTATATGCCGGGTGCCCGTGTGCCCGTGTGCTGTGCGGTGGGGTGGAAGTCTGCGTCAACAGGGCCCCGTGGAGGGTCTCGGATTTTGTTCTCGGATTTGCTTCTGCCGTGACTTTTCGCTCTTTGTGCTCTTGTGTTCGCAGGTGTGCCTTCTTCGTCCTGCTCCTCCTCCTCGCTGGAACGCATGCTTCTGTTCAACAGCCCCTCTGTGGGCCCCGACGCCCCCAAGATAGAGGACCTGAAGTGGCATTCCGCCTTCTTCAGGAAGCAAATGGTGCGTTCGCGGAAGAAGCCCCACAAGCGAGATGCGTTGCCCGGCAGCGCCCGGGCGGCAGGCAAGACCCTGCTCAGGCCGCCAGGCCTGTGCGGGCGCAGGGAGGGCGCGGGTCTCCCCGGGAGCATCCTGAGTTTGGAAAAGACCTTGGCAGAGGCACGGCTCCTGTCCGCACAGCAGAAAAACGGGGCGCTGGTGCCCGACCCCGGGCACAGGAAGGACCACCGATTCCATTGTGACCTCAGCAAGGGAGACGTCAAGGACAGACCCTTGAAACAGAGCCACAAGCCCCTCAGGTGCACAGACGCGCCCCAGCGGCATCATCCGGACCACGCGCGGGCCGCCGCCGCCTCCCCCGCGGCGCCGGGCACGAGGAAGGAGGCGGTGCCCAAGTGCAACGGCTCGCTGGTCAGGGCGAGCTGCGCCCAGGCCGCGGTCAAAGTGCCTACGACACCGGCCAGCCCCGTGAAAAACTGGGGCGGCTTCCGGATTCCAAAGAAGGGGGAGCGGCAGCAGCAGGGCGAGGCGCCGGAGGCTGCCGGCCACCAGCACGCGGACTACCCCTACTTGGGCCTGGGCCGCGCCCCAGCCCAGGAGAGGGCGAAGGGCAAGGTGAAGTCGGACAGCGAGAACGACGGGTACGCCCCGGACGTGGAGATGAGCGACTCCGAGAGCGAGGCGTCGGAAAAGAAGTGCACGCACGCCAGCGGCGCCATGGGCCGGCGGACAGACATCATCCGCAGGAGCATCTTGGCCTCTTGATGAAGCGGCCGGCGCGGGGCTCTGCGGCGCGGTCCTCGCCGCCAGACGGGCGCCACACGGGGGACCCGCGGAGACCCGGCTCCCCTGAGCCACGCAGACACGTTTACTTGCAATTCAGATTGAATTTTTTTTTCTGAGTCATTTATATGAACTGTTGTGAGAAGTGTGTGTTATTTCCAACTTGTTGAGGAGACACAAGAGTAGGTTGTAACTGTAAGACACTGCTAAACTGGAAGCTGAATTAAACACTAAACTGAGAATGAATGAAGTCAGTCTTGAAAGAGGGCAAGGATTACATAAGCTTCGTGAGTTTTTATTGCTCTCTGTATTCTTCCCAAAGCACAAACTCTTGGTTACCTGAAAACACGGAATCAGACATGGTTCTCGAGAAACCCTCACGTACTGTCGAATAGCCCGTAACGCTCACTCTCTAGGACTGTGGCGGACCTGGGAGTCATGTTCCTGCTGCGGCCCACGGGCTGTTTTCCTCGAGTAAGAGTGTATTAGGCAGCAGCGGCGAAGCTTCAGGAGCTCTGGGGAATTTATGTGTAAATACACCAGATGGGGAGGAGAGAGCTTTTTTTGAAATAGGTCATCTCTGGAAGATCCGAAGGGACAGGGCAGAGCTGCTGCAGCTTGAATTTAGGGGGCAGGTCGCCCTGTCCCGCTGCCTGAACTGGGTTGTGGTTGTAGGACTGGTGGAGAGAGAAGCCATTAGGAAGTTCCGTGGGTGAGGAAGGGCACCGAGGCCCCGCTTGGACCTGTCCCCTTCCCCTCCCTCTTCCCCAACCATTGCCCTGTGGGCTGGCTCGGGGTTTCCCTGGCCATTAGCAGTACCTGGCCTGGCCATCTGGCTTCCAACAACGCAGTGGTCATTCAGGTTCAAGTGATGAACTTCAGATTCTGGTGACTCATACTTCCCAGGTCCAGCCACCAACCAGTGCATGTGTCAGGGAATCCGGCTTCCCACGTGAATGGATTCCTTAAAAACGAGGAAAAAAGAAGAAAAAAAGGAAAAAAGATGTTATATTTTAAAAACAATAGAAAGGCAATAATAAGTTGCGAAAACCTCTTACCATTGACCAAGTTTATACAGGAAGGAGATTTAAGTGTAACAGGTTTTCTGGAGTCAGTTCTAGGCTCTGGTTTGTAACTTGGACTTTCTCATTGCAAATGGCAATAACTCGTAAGTTATCAGCAATAAATTTAGCATTGAATTTGAGTACAGCGTTTTGTTTTTTGCACTCACTGCAGTGCTTATGTATTAAGACAGTGGGTAGTGTTAAGGTCCTGTTAATTTTCTTTGGATTTCAATGTAGTTGTGCATCGAACTTAAGGAAAGTTTAAGTAGCGATGAGATTGAGAGCTGCAGGCACTCGAAACAAGCCCAGCTCCCCCTAAATTACCCCCGTAGTTTGTTAATGCCAGTATTCAGATTCCTGGTTCATTTATACATGTGTTTCCATGTGGCAGGGACATTCTGATAATGAATAATGCTTTGAGTTCCACAGTTAACTTTCAAGTCTTCCAGAGGATTGTCCACAACAAAAAAAGGCTGAATGAATTCCATCTTGCTATGCAAGTTTTATCAGATGATCAAATAGTAGATCGGATGCATCCCCGTTGTGTGTAGGACATTTTCAAACCAAGTCTTAACTTTTTTGGATATATTGTAGTAGCTGATTCAGGGGAGGGGAAAGGATGACCCGGGTTTTTAGATGGACTATTTTTGAGCTACAGGGGCTCACTTTGAAACACTGCTGTCCAGGCAAGCTGTTGCTACAGATATTAGAAGTTCCTTACAAATCCAAGTTGTCCATTCGCTCGTAACCTAATTTAAAAGTCAGATTTTTTTGCATATGAGCAAAAAATCTTTTGCTGAGTACAGAAGAAGGTGGACGCTATCTACGGTTATCTTCTGGCCCCAGCAGCAGCTCTGGGTGGAGGAGATGGAGGGGTGATGTGTGAAGCCATAGAAAGAAAATCAGAATTCTAGGAAGCGTTATGACCTCTCACCATTTTAGGAGGTACCAGATTCATTTGCACTATTAGGAATGCTAGTGTCGTGCAAAAATAATGCCTTACCTGTTTTTTCCCCCACATTTAGGTTGAAAAGCTTTCAAACGTTCCAAGTTATGCTGAACCAAAAAAAAAAACAACAAACAAAAACATAAAACAAAAAAATTAAAAAAAAATCCCACATGAGAACAAAACACAAAAGTAAAAAGCCCACAACCTTTATTTCTGCTTTGAAATGCAAATAGGAGAGCTCGGGTTTCTGATCGTGGAAGGACAGCTTTGCAAGTTGGTTTCCTGCCCTGCTGGGGGTGCTGTATGAGGCCACCAGGCAGCAGCCCGCTCTACCCACTTGCACTCTCCTAGTGGGCTACCATTTGCTCTTTTCTTTTTTTTCTTTCTTTTTAAGCTTTATCTTTCCTTGTGCATCCTGACCAAGAAATATCTTTGATTATGATCAATGTTTATGTCAGTGTAGCTAGTTAAACTTTTGTAAAGTTGCCTGGAATGTCATTTGTTAGGTTATAAACACAAATCTCAATGAAGGGTTCTATGTGTTGTGTACAAATCTTAATTATTTTGAAATGGACAAACTTGTCATTACATTTGTAACCTTGTACAGAGAATTTTTCACTATGTGCCTAGCTTGGTGTCCATTCAGCTAAAATTGAAGAAAAAGGTGCATGAAGAGTTAAAAATCAGAAATTAAACAAAGTATATGTAGAGATGACTATTTTATATGACATGGCCCAATCCTGTATTTATTTCTACCCCTTTTTTGAAAGTATTTATAAAACTAGTTGAGGACAGCTGTATTTTTTTGTTGAACTATTTAGTAGAATTTGTGCCTTTTTGTCTGTATGTGAATAAATGCTGTACATTTTGCAATACATTCTAAGTGTCTTTTGAAGTCTGCTTTTGCTAAATGTTTAAAGGTGTCTAGCACTCAGTCCTGAATTGGCGTGTGTTGTGGCCCCGATTTGGACCCGAATGCGAACGGCAGGGCACCGACGAGGAACAGATGCCTTCCCTGGCCACCCTCCCCGCAGCCCTGGGGTGCCTGGACGCTGGAAGGTGGTCACGGTCTGATTTCCGTCTTGCCCACCTGCGGTTTTTTCCAGGATACGATTTTGGATATGAAAACCACCAGTGTTAAAGCTACGTAGACTTTAGGGTCAGAGCGAGAGCTGGGTTTACAGGCTGAACTATGCAGGTCACTGGCCACGTGACCGCGGCCGGCACACCCAACGTCTCTGTCTCAATTTTCCCTCCTGTGAAAACCGGACGCACGGTCTCTCATACAAAGTCCGTAGTCGGCACTTAGTCGATGGTGGACTGTTTTTATGATTAGGAACAAGATACTTGAACATCGTTGACTGATGAGCTTTTTGAGGCAAAAAAAAAAAGGTTATTCCTGAATGACAGGAAGATTATAAGGCCCTTTAAAAACGAATTGCTCTTAAAAAAATACAAGAGCAGCTTTATGAAGTGCATTCATAGCTGTTCTCTGCGCTGTGCAAAGATGCCCAGGACCACAGCATTCGACATTGGAAGGAGCAGGCGTTGCCCAGTTCCAGCTCCTAGTCCCGCGGCTCCCGCCTGTGAAACTTCGGTCCCTGCGCGCAGAAGCTAGCGTCTATCTAACCCCCATGACTTCCTTGGGGACGGCAAAACTGCTGTGGGGGTGCGTTCTCGCTCAGATGTGCACGAGCGGGAGCCGTGACAGGGCAGTCCTCCACCCTCCTTTTATACTGATTTTTGTATTGATTTGGCCAGAGTGCTTTTTTTTTTTTTAATGTGAATTGTTCATACATTTGGCTAAAAGCTTGTTTATTTCTCCTGGTTCCTCCTTAGTGACTCTTTACTTCCCTGTTGCATGCTCTGAGTAAGACCCCAGAGGGAAATAACCGTGATTCTTCCTAAGGTCTTAAAAGTTGAGTAACCGGGATAGTTCCCTCGGGAAATGAAGTCCCCAGGAGCCTCGGGCAGGGCTGAGCGGAGGCAGCTCTGCCATAGGCGGTGGGGAATGCGGCACCAGGGACTCGCGTTCACGTTTGTTTACCCAGATCGCTTAGAAAACAGTCCCACCTTTGAAGCATTCGCCATCGGCAGCAAACTTCGCGGTTAACTTCAAGGTTGCAGTCTTCAGTATGATTTCTCTTTAATGCTCACCACTGCGACAGCGGACGTGTTCCAGTCTGGGGCAGAGCGACGGCTTTGCCTGCCGGCCCACGGCAAAGGGGCTGCGAACGAGTCCCTCACCGACTTCCGTGGCTTCAGCGGTTCCCTCCGCGGCGGGGGAGGAGCACGCCTGCGCAGTCCCGCTTCTCCACTGCGGCTCCCTGGGCCTTTCCTGCGGGATGCGAGCAGGTGCTTGAGATTTTGGAGCTCATCTTTTGTTTTGTTTTGATGTTATTTTCTTTTTTAAAATGTATTTTATTGATTATGCCATTGCAGTTATCCCCCCTTTATTCCCCTCCACCCTGCACGCCCCCTCCCGCCTGCAATCCCCTCCCCCTTAGTTCATGTCCCTGGGTCGGACAGGTAAGTTCTTTGGCTTCTCCATTCCCTGCACTATTCTTACCCTCCCCCTGTCTGTTTTCTACCTACCATTTATGCTTCTTATTCCCTGTACCTTCCCCCATTTCCCCCTCCCTTTTCCTGCTGATGACCCTCCACATGATCTCCATTTCTGGGATTCTGTTCCTGTTCTAGTTGTTTGCTTAGTTGTTTTATTATTTTAGGTTCGGTTGATAGTTGTGTGTTTGTTGTCATTTTACTGTTCATATATTTGGTCATCTCCTTTGTCTTAGGTCCCTTTAACATTTCATATAATAAGGGCTTGGTGATGATGAACTTTAACTTGATCTTATCTGAGAAGCACTTTATCTGCCCTTCCATTCTAAATGATAGCTTTGCTGGATAGAGTGATCTTGGATGTAGGTCCTTGCCTTTCATGACTTTGAATACTTCTTTCCAGCCTGTTAGGTTTCTTTTGAGAAATCAGCTGACAGTCTGATGGAAACTCCTTTGTAGGTAACTGTCTCCTTTTCTCTCGCTGCTTTCAAGATTCTCTCCTTATCTTTAATCTTGGGTATTGTAATTATGATGTGCCTTCTTGGGTCCAACTCCATTGGGACTTTCTGAGCTTCCTGGAAGTTTATTTCCTTTGCTAGATTGGGGAAGTTCTCCATTATTTTTTCAAATAAATTTTTAATTTCTTGCTCTTCCTCTTCTCCTTGTGGCATCCCTATGATTTGAATGTTGGAACTTTTAAAGTTGTCCCAGAGGTTCCTAAACCTTTCACTTTTTTTTTTTGAATTCTTGTTTCTTCATTTTGTTCTGATCGACTGTTTATTTCTTCCTTCTGCTCCAAATCGTTGATTTGAGTCCTGGTTTCCTTCCCATTACTGTTTGTCCCCTGTACATTTTCCTTTATTTCACTTTTCATAGCCTTCACTTTTTCCTCTATTTTGTGACCATATTCAACCAATTCTGTGAGCATCCTGATTATCGGTGTTTTGAATTCTGCATCTGATAGGTTGGCTCTCTCTTTATTGCTTAGTGGTATTTTTTCTGGAGCTTTGAACTGTTTTTTCATTTGGGCCATTTTTTTTTTTTTTTGTCTCAGCACACCTGTTATGTAGTAAGGGGTGGAGCCTTAGGTATTCACTGGGTGGGGCAACCCACCCTTGCTGCATTGTGACGCTGTAAGTGGGGAAGGGTCCAAGAGGGAACAATGGCACTTGCTCAGCTCTCTGCCAGCTTTCAGTCGCTTCCCCCGCTACCCACAAGCAAATCAGGCCCTTCTGGTGCTGATTCCTGGGTGGGTGGGCTTGTGTACGTTCTAGAACCCCGTGGGTCTCCAATAAACTCTTCTGTGAGGCTGGGAGTGTCTCCCGCCGCCTCACCCCCCACAGGTGTTTTCAATCAGAGGTTTGAAGCTTTATTTCCCCGAGCTGGATCCCTGGGCTGCGCAGTCTGTCTTGCTCCCCAGTTGTTCCTCCTGGTTTATCTGAATGCGAATGTGGAACTGCCCGCTCTGCCAGCCACCGCCTTGCTGTGAGCCCTCTTTGCCCAGCTGTCCGTCTCCGCCCCTCCTGCCAGTCTGGGTGAGTTTCTTCTTTAACTCCTTGGTTGTCAGACTTCCATACAGGTCGATTTTCTGGCAGTTCTGGTAGTTTTTGTGTTTAAATTTGTTGTCCTTTTGGTTGTGCGAAGAGGCCCGGCGTCTCCCCGCACCTCCATCCTTCATTGTGGCCTTCCTGAAACGGGGGAGTCCGGGGTGGGCCGGCTCCTCAGCCCCCACAGCTGCATGTGATCTAGGCCTGCGGGCTGCACTCACCGTCTCTGCGGTGCCTTTCACTCCTCTCAGCCCCACTACCGCTGACCATGGACTGAAAGCCGCCTCATTTCTTGCCTGGATTGTTGCAGCAGCCTCTCGTTCCCTCGACTGAAGTTAGCCCCTCCTCCCTCCCAATTAGCTGCAGACGTGCCCACGCCGTCTCCATAGTGATGACTTCTGCAATTAAAATCTGATGTTGTCATTCTGCGTGCAGCCTTCAGGAGAACCTCCAGACTTCTGCAAATTATTACCAAGGGCTTTTCAAATGGCGGGCGTGGAGCCATTTCATGTCTGTGACGGTTTCGTCCCCGCCGCGTGTGAGGCAGGTGTTACCGAGTTTGCAGGCGAGGGGACTGAGGCACGCAAGTCGGCCCCGGTGCTCGAGGTCGGTAGGCGGTACAGCTGGGAGTCCGTCCACGGGCCTCTACCGCCTCTCCGAATAGAAAACAGTTCGTATAAAGTAGTTGGTGTGTTCTCGTGTGTGCTGAGGGTTATGCAGGCGAATTTTAGATGAACGAATTGCTGTAAAGCTAATGATCTTGGCTGAAAACACATCAGCATACGGGTGCAGTGACTGCGGGCATAACTAACGGGTGATGAGTAATACAGTCGGCTTGCGGTCTGTCCCTGCCTTCTCCCAGGCAGAATGGAATTAGTTAATGTGCGGTCATCGATGTGTATTTTGTGGCACACACACATTCCCATTTGCAGATAAAATATACACAGAGATGAGCAAAGAAAACAGCATTCCTATCAGGAACTCAGTAACAGTTATTTCTCTATCCTGGCACGTTGCTAGGGAAGTTAAAGAGAGGTATTTAACATCACGGTTTCTTGATGGTGAATCAGAATTAGGACGAATGTCCCAAGACTTCAAATTGATGCTGTGCAAAACCTTCAAATCAGTATTTTTGTGATATAAGGTATGATAAATCGGGTTAGTTTTTTACAAATAAGTCCAGCAATGACTTATTTGCCAAATTAAATACCAAAGATTAAAAAAAAAGGAAAAAAAATAACACGTACTGTCATTCCTAGTTAACACTAAGATATCTCGACATTCTCACTACTACTTGGCTTACATACGGCTGCATTTTAGGTAGTGTAATACCTTTGTAATTATGGATTAATGATGGTTATTCTATCCACTAATCTGGCTGATGGTTCTAATTTCAGGATTATTAGCAGTGAGGAACACTTTCTTATTTTGTAAAAAGATTTTTATTTATTTATTTTTAGAGAGGGGAAGGGAGGGAGAAAGAGAGGGAGAGAAACATCAGTGTGTGGTTGCCTCTTGCCCCCTACTGGGGACCTGCCCCACCACCCAGACATGTGCCCAGAGTGGGAGTTGAACTGGTGGCCCTTTGGTTCACAAGCCGGCATTCAACCCACTGAGCCACACCAGCCAGGGCAGAAACATTTTCTTCATGAAGCTGATCTGTCTTCTCTGGTGTTCCCCTCCCCCCTGCAGCAGCCTCTTAGGGCACGTTCCTTCTTTCTCCATCACTGTGGTCCAGCCTTACTGTTAGAATTGT